GAGGCTGCGCAGGTCAAGCCCGGAACATTGCCTTCCTGCCAGCCTCCCTTGGCGGTCCGGGCCTTTTGCATGCGGAGCGCATTTCGCCTGCAGCCTATTGGGCGGCATGGGCGGACGCACTGCCTGTGCTGCAACAGCGGTGTCCCGAAGCCGTCGAGCGTTGCCTGCAAGAGCTCCAGGCCGGTAGCCAGCTGCGGCGCCAAGCCTCCAGGCTGCCATGGTTGCAGGCGTCCACCTCGACGAGCAAGAATGGGGCCACCGGCCCGGATGGGAGCCGCGTCTGCGCACAGCGCCGCCGCAAGACGTTCGTGGTGAGCCCGGCGTCTGGGCGAATGGTTGGCAAAGGGATGCTGTTCTCGCACTCCACACTTCTTTCCGCCTCCGCCGCGTCTCCGGCTTGCAACTGTCGCAGGGCACCGCTCCATCGCCGGCCGGCACCGCTGTTGCAGGACGGGCAGCGCGTCTGCCCACGCTGCCCAGTGGCGACAGCCGCTCCGCAGGCGCCAGGCCGAGACCACCGAGCGATCCTGGCAAGAACGCTATGTCCCGTGCGACTTGCCACGCATCGGACCCAGGATCGTCATCGCCCAGCATGGACGCGAGAGCGCGCCATACGGCATCGTCGTGCGCACGTGCATAAGGGGCAGCGGACGCCGGCGGCAGGTTGCGGAGCAGGTGCTGTGCCCGAGGCGCCGCACAAAAGGCGAGAAGGAGCCACGCGCACTGCAAATCGGGGAGCTGCGGCAGGTGGCGTAACAGACTGAGCTCCTCCTCCGCACGGCGGGCTGCCTGCGCCTGGACGTACTCCTCGTGCCCGATGGGGACCCCCAACGCGACGAACCCTCGTTCGGCGGGCGGCTTGTCCCCCCTCCAGACCTCCTCGCCGAGGGCAACGATGCCGGGCGGCGCCTCGCCCCCCGCGGCACTGTAGACGCACGTCTTGAGACGCTCGCTCGCCCTTGCAGGGGACGTGACGACGTAGAGGTTGTCGAGGAACGCCGCGAGGAACTCCGTTTCACGCAGGTCTGCCGCGGCCGCGTGCAAAGCATCGTGCTGGCCGAGGGCGTAGAGCGCGGGTGCCAGCGGGTCACCCTGCTCCACGCTCTCGGCCTGCAACACCTCGTGGACCTGGCCATCGGCGTCCCACCACAAAAAGGTGGAAGTGCGCGCATACACGCTGCGCACGAAGGGCACGAGCTGAGGCGCCGTATCCCGCAGCTTCCGGAAGATGGCCGCACGACTGATGCTATCGTACGCACTGCGGCCCTCAAGCGACACGACCACCGCTTCAGGGTCCATCTCAACAGCGGCTCGTAGGACAGCGGCCAAGGCATCCGTTCCGGTGCGCGTGCTGAGGGCGTACTGGTAGGGGCGTGTGGCGCGGTCGAACACGTCAGCAAACGTGCGAGCAAGCACCCTGGACACGAGGCGCCTTAGCACGTCGCCGGTTGCGATGCCGCGAACGCCACCATTGGGCTTGCGCAGCGCTGTAAGGCGCGAGAGGGCAAGCGCGTCTGCGACGGTGGCAGGCACTTCCGCCCGCGCCAGGCTGTTGACGACGGCTGTAAACGCCTCAAGCACGGAGGGTTCGTCGAGCAACAGCTTGTACTGCTCGGCAGTGGCGCCCGACAACCCTGGAGCTGCTCCGCGCTTAGTGCTTCGCAATGCCTCGGCAACTTGCTGCACCGTCAAAGCCACGCGGTGTGCCGGGTCGACCTGCAGAGATTCCGCCGCGATTTCCTGGCGGGGTACTGGCGGGCGCCTGGCAGGATCGCGCAGGGCCGCAAGCGTGGTGTCGTCGCCTGGCGCCAGCACCCCAGCTGTGAGCACTTGCCGAGCGCGCGACAACTGCCCCTGGCGCACGCGGGCACACGCGTGCTCCCGGCGGGCGTTGTCGGTATCAGGACGCGCCTGCCTTGCCGGCGGAGGTTGGGAGCGCGGGTCGCGGAGCAGCCTCTCTACGCTCCCTGCCTCGACGAGCTCAATACGCTCTAAAACTTCAGCGCGACCTTCAGCACCCTGGGAGCCGCTGCGGCGCAGCAGGAGGCGGGGGAGAAGCAGAAACAGCTTCCACGCACGGTCCTGCGCTGTTGCGTCGCCTCCGTGAGATGCTTCCTGCACGGCGCGCAGAGCGCTGGTCAGGGCTCGACGAACCCCCGCGACCAGAAAACGCGGAACGCAGTGCAGGGTGGGGACTGGCACACGGAATTCGAGACAGAGGTCCACCTCGTCCAGGCACGCTAGCGCAACGCGTGCCGCAGCGCGAGGCGGGGGCGCGGAGGCTGGCACGGGCCTTTCCCCTTCCGCGTCGAGGTCGTCCGCGGGTCCACCAGGCGGGTCTGGCGGCTCGGGGTCCTCGGATGGCTCACGCCCTTGGCCTTGACAGCTTCGGCGTCTCTGCGCGCGGTGGGGACACTCGGGAGCGTCGGGCTCCGCGGCATCCGCAGCCTCCCGGGGCGGCACAGGTACCGGGCGCAAACGGTCGGCGTGACGGTCCAGCGCCGACGCCAAACGAATGCCGCCGTAGCACTCCAAGAGAGCCTCCTGCGCGGGAGCCAACAAGTACCCGTCGGGCTCGCGGAACTGGCGGACGGCCCAGCCAATGTCGCTACCCGGCAGCCTGGCGTGCGCGAGGCGGTCGACGAGGTCCGGAAGGTGGTGGGCATGGGCAGGCGCCACCTCGACAGCTCGACCGAGAGCTGCAATCAGCAAATCTGGCGCCACGGGCTCAGATGCCACCAAAAGGCGCCTCGCCTCCTCCCACCAGCCGGCCGTCCGTGGGTCGGCACGCCACGCCCCAAGCGCTGCATTGCAGCGGCCAGCTTGACCCCTGGGACGACCGCCGCACAGCCTGCGCTACTGCTGGGGTGCTCCCCGCCCGGGCGATGCCGCTTGAGCGGGCGCTAGCCCGCCGCGAGGCGGGCGCTCGTGTCGCCCAGAACGTCCGTTTGGCCGACATGAACCTCGATGCCTCCGTGCAAGACGCCAGGCGCATCGAGGTCGTGTGCAATGGTCTGCCACTGCGGCATGGTGCGCAGCTCGCCGTCGATGCCACCATAGTCAGCCCTGTTGGCAGGACCGGCCCGTGGCTCGGGCGAGCCACGGGCCGGTGCAGATACCCGACCGGCTCTGGCCATTGACCAAGCCGCCCAGCGCAAGCGCCGCCAGACCTACCCTGAACTGGAAAGGGCGCGCAAAAAAAAGGGCGCGCCGATGCCGCCTTGTTGTTGTCGGTGTCGAGGTAGGCGGCCGCTGGTCGCGCGAGGCAGCCCAGTTCGTCCGCCTACTTGTGCGCGCACGTGCGTCGGGGGCGCCTGCCGCCCTACGTGCGACCGCCTGCGGCGCCTGGGTGCAGCGCTGGAGTGGCATCCTCTCCGTCGCGACGCAGCGCGCCTTTGCAACGTCGTTGCTGGAGCTGCCGCTGCACGGGGAGTGCCAAGGCGGCAGCCCTGAGCCCGAGCTGCATGAGGTCCTTGCGGAATCGCGCTGGGCTGTTGCTCCCGCCACGAGCCGAGTCGCGCCGCGCGCAGCGTGAGCAGACGCGTAGGCTTGTACAGGGACCGGGGCTTGGGACGACCTGCGGAAAAAGGTGTGTGAGAAAAAAAAGCTCTCTCGGTATGGTCTGGTTCCCAAGATCGACCAAGGCCAGCTTTCTCCTCCGTTGGTGCACATACCACTGTGTGCGCAAGCTTGGGAACGTCTCCAGTCTGCGACTTCTCCCACCCAGACAGGGTCCTTTCCGACGCTTCACGTGAAGTCATGGACATGTGGGTTGCAAAACGGCAATTTTTTTTTCTCGCTCCTTTTTGCACCCGCTGTCCTGGGTTCAAGGGTCGGGGCTACCGTCAGGGCTCACAGTCCGGCTGCCCTGGGCGTTCGGCGAGCAACTCCCCCAGCGGCAGCTCCTGATCATCCCCCGCGTCGCACGGCTGCACCGGCAGCTCGAGCAGCGCGTGCGCGTGTGCGCACAGTGCCGCCAATGACGCGAGGCAATGCCACCGCCGGGTGAGCGCCCGGCCGGCCGCAGCCGCATTCCACGCGCCAGGCGGCGGATGAAGGCCAGGGCGTTGGGGCTGAATCGTCCTCCGACTTCCATGCCGAAGACGACCAACCGACAACGCCCTTGCCCGCCAGCCCGCACGCAGCTCCGGGTACGTGCGATGTTTGCGCGCCTCGGCGTGGCGAAGCGCGCAACCGGGCTCGACGTCGGCTCCTGGACGGGGCTCTCCGCGCCTCTGCAGTGGGCTGACGAGCGTCGTGTCGACCGCGATCTGGGCTACCCACTGGAAGAGGACCTGTCTCGCTGGCGTCTGCTTGAACAATGCTGGCCCCGATACCCCTCCGGGTCAAGCTTCCGCCTGAAAAAACTTTGGTGGCCACGACCAGCATTCTGTCCTTCTTTCTTCTGCCCGGTGCTTTTGCCCGAATTTGCTCTGACCGGAGCACCGACCGGGATTTTCTTCGCCAGCATGAAAAAAAGGATGCGTGGAGCGTTGTTTTATTGAGGTGAGCATTTAGGAACATTCGTAACGGACTAGTGCTGGCAGTGAACAGGTCCTATGAAAAATCCTGTTTCTTGGGAGAGCCATACAATCCCGCCTATGAAGGGGTTCGGAAGGAGTTCCGGCAACGATGTCCACGCGTGAGCCGCCCTCAGCCTTCCTTACATCCTTTGTGCCGGTGGCTTGCTGTAGAGATGGGTTGCCGAAGAAAGTGCGAGACAAAATCATGCGAAAACAAAAAGACATTGTGATGGCACAGCCGACAATGGGATGGGTGGCAATAATCCACTTTTCAAAGCCGCAATCTTCGTCAAGATCTGAATGGGCCACCTGCTTTTGTCCTGGCATGGGTGGAGTGTGGCGTTACCCTTTTGATTTTGGATCTTGGATCTGAAACATTTTGCGCGAAATTTTCAAATAGTCAAAGAGGATGATATATGTTTGAAGCATGTGCATGAACAGTGGGTCTGCAGCCAAGCTTGCGCACTGCTCAAGGAAATGGCACAGCCTGGGGACGGCGTAGGGTCTGAGCCATGGCGGGGCGCGATCCGATCCGAAACGCGGGCAGCACTCCAGGAAGTGTTGAATGACATCGGAGTTCCGGTGAGGGGTTCCGTCACTCATCCGCCGTCCCCATCAACATCGGGGCAGCCTGATGCACGGCGGATTTCATCAGGTCCGACGCAACATCTTCGTCTGCCGCTGCCCAGCAATGCTGGCCATGCTGAGCCAGCGTCAGTGTGGGGCAGGGCCGGCACTGTTGGCACTGTTGAGTTCACGAGGGGGATCTCCGAAGGTGGTGCAGAAGTGATGCTGAACGATGCGGCCATTGCGGAAGCGATGCGCCAGTGGCACCGCCATCCCCGCAAGCTAAGATCGCGGAGCACGTCTCCGCTGAACAAGAAGTACCGCAGGTACAAGTCGAAGAACAGCTCCCGCGGATTTCCCCAAGTTCCAACAATGCCTGCTGAGGATAAGCTGATTCGGACCTCACGCCGGTATATGCAGATGGCAAACCCTTTATTGATCAAGGAGTTGTCTTCGCCTGGCCAATCCAGGCTGGCCGCCTTAGTCGAGTCGACGGAGTTCAGCGGCTTCATTGGTGCAATGATTCTCGCGAATGCCATCTCAATCGGCTTGCAGACTCAGCACGAGGCTGACACATGGAGCCTGGCAATACCACCTGGATTTGCAGTAAGCGTCTTGATGCTGACAAGCTCTTATTTGTTTTGGGTGTTTGTTGTCCCAGGGATCATCTCAGATGCCTCTGCTTTGGCCTAGGTGAGATAGTCTTCGCTTTGATTTTTGCTGTGGAGTTGACACTCCGCTTTGCAGTGGCTGGCTGCGACTTCTTCGCTGGGCCTGAGCGCTACTGGAATATTTTTGATATGACGCTGATCCTGGCGCAGGTGAGCGAACAAGTGTGCTCTGACGTTGTTCAAAAAGTTTTGCGGTTGTGATGGTTGTGTCGTCGGAGCAAGGTGGCTCCTGAGGTAGCATCTGTTTTGATGGCATGTGGGTGCTTGGGAACAGCTGAGGATTTTCGTGGGCATCATATACACCCATGGTTCTTTAAGAGGACTCAGGTATCCGGAGCTCATGCCCGACAGCGTTGTCCTGCGCGCATTGCGCATCTTCCGGTTGCTTCGTATCTTGCGACTTGTCCTCAAGCCCTAAACCCTAAACCCCCTTAAACCCTGAACTTCCGCAGGCCCGCAACATGTGTAGTCCCTGCAGTGCGTTTTGCACTAGCTAGGACAGCAAATGGGCTGCATTCGGGCAGCTTGGTAGCCGTAGCAGATGTCTCCCGTTCCCAGGCGAATTCTCCGAATGATGCATATCAGCAGTGAGTTGCAGGACCCCGTGGCGTTTTGGGTTGATTCCAAGATAACTCGGTCTCGGTAGTGGTACACTGCGTTGCGGAAAACTCAATATCTGCAGCGAAGGCCATCATGACTGCGATTGTCAAAGGGATGCGGGCATTCATATGGACGCTGGCTTTCATGTTTCTGGTGCTCTATGCTGTGGGTGTGTTCCTGACTCAATGCGTGACAGATTACAAAGTGGCTCTGGAAAATGACGGCTCCGCGTCACACGAGCTTCAGGACTACTTCGGAACACTTCCTGGAACGATGCTTTCTTTGTTCCAGGCAATTACCGATGGCCAAGAGTGGCGGGAAATGCTGAAACCACTCATCTCTGAAATTTCCCCTTGGATGGCGGTCCCGTTCTGCATGTACATTTCATTCATGGCCTTCGCTCTTTTGATCCTTGCCCGCGGTTGCGTTTTGCACAAGCTTTCTGCACATGTTTTGGCGGTTGTAGGCACGAGACATTTTCGCATTCTCAGGAACATCTTAACTGGCATCTTCGTGGACAGTGCTTTGGAAAATGCGCAAGAGGAAAAACGCCGCTACCTCCTTCAAGAAGTGGGCTTACTCTTCCGTGAGGCGGAGAAGGACGGAAGCATCGTAGGCCGCAACCCTAGGAGTTTGTTGAGGCTCTGCTTATATAGGGAAGCGACTGATGCTCCAAAAAACCCCTAAGCCTGACACACATATGTCTGCGCAGGAGCAGATCACTTGGCCAGACTTCCAGGCCCAGCTTCGCAATCCGCACATGCAGCAGCTGTTTGCTGCCCTCGACGTCGACGAAGCTGGCCTGACAAACTTGGCAGCGAGTGGATGCGAGAAGGTTCCCTTGTTGAGTTGGTTACTTTGGCATCTAAGGAGGAAGACGCATCGGAGCTCTTTCATATGCTCGACGCCTCTCATGATGGCTTCATTCAATCCGACGACTTCCTCAACGGCTGCTTGCGGTTGGATGGTCCGGCCAAGGCGATCGACCTGGCAGCCTTCATCGAGGAAAGCCGCAAAGTCAACCGCACGTTCCTTGAGCATGCCACGCAGCGTAATTAAACGTGTGTTCTTGCACTTCGCTAGATATGACTGGCCTGCGGCGCCCACACGTCTCCTGTCTATCCAAGGCCAAGTTTGTCAGCCAGACTCTTTGCTGGCTTGTGCACACTACTGAAGCTGCCCAGCACCACTCCGTGAGCCACACGCCGAAGGAGCCCCCCGTCTCACATTGATGACATGAGGAGAACAGTATAAGATAGGTATGCTTGCATACAAGCTCTACGCCTCCATGCACTGCCTTTTGAGGGCAAACATGGCCTGGGCAGTGGCTGGGCCACAAGTCGCCCAAAACCCAAGAATCGCGAGATCGTCTAAATCGAACTGGACCCCGGGCCGTGTGACAGCTTTGTGGGGTATCTGCGCAGCAAGCCCTTTTGCCCCCCACCTATTTTCTCGCAGCCATGTGGCCCAAGCCTGGTGTGGAGTAGTTCTCCTCAGACTGTGAGCTGGTGTTAGAGGGGAGCTGCATGTGCCGGAGGCGGCAAGTGCAATCAATGTGGGGATTTGCAGCTTTGTATGGTCATGTCCTGTCAGTGATCCATGAACAGGAGGTTGTCGGCTCTGCCCCCTTGTGTGATGTTTGCCTTGCAGCCGAAGCCGTCTCGGCTCAGCAGGCTAGTTTCGTGGTCAGGCAAACCATCCATAACCCAGCGCCCTGCGCTGTACAAGCGGCTTTCTTGCAGCCTTGGGCTTGTTTCGTGGGATGTGCGCGTTAGATTAGATTAGATGAAATTGGATTAGGCTAGATTAGATTAGATTAGATTAAGTGGCAATGTGACTGCGTTCGCCAGACCACACACTAAGGATGCAGTGGATCTTGAGCAGACTTGTGCCTCGGCTTACTCACATCAAAAAGCCGCCTGGTTCTTGCGATGTAGATGGAAGTGGTGCTGGAACGTTGAGGGTTGCACTGACCTGGGAGTGATGGAGCCTTGACGGCAGATCACGGAACGTTAAAAAAAAAAAGTAAGGTTTGCGCATCGGCGCTCTTCACTTATGCAGCCTGCACCGCAACTTGGCAGCTATGAAGACACTCTGAGGGTGAGGAGGGTGTTGGGGAACCTACCCTGAACCCTATATACACCCGAAACTCCCTAAACTCCCTAAACCCTAAACCCTAAACCCTAAACCTAAACCCTAAACCCTGAACCCTAAATCCGAAACCCTAAACCCTAAACCCTAAACCCCAAACCCTACACCCTAAACCCTAAACCCTGAACCCTACAGTTCCTGATGTGAACGTCCAAAGGTTGTCGCTTCCGACGACTGGAAGCACACCTCCGACAGTGCACGGTCCCAACACAGCGAAGCGCAAGCGACTTGGCACACCTAAAGCAGCTTCATGGGGTTTAGGGTTTAGGGTTCAGCGTTTGGGTTCAGCGTTTTTTTGGGGACTCAGTCATAGTTTGTGGCTCAGCTAGAGAAACCTGTAGCCGTCACGACTACAATCTCTGTATGGGAGGCTTGCTGAGTTTTTTCTTCTGTCGGAGCACGTTAGCCGGAAACAGAGAGTGCGACCTGTGGCAGATGGCAGCTCTTCATGTGGCCGAGGATGTGACAGCCAATAGCAATCGAACACATGTTGCAATCTCTGCGGGTGGCCAGCCGTCGGTTATGAGAAGGGAGGCGGCTCGCTTGCACACATTCAGCCGGAACTTTGTTGGAATCATATGCGGCAAGAGGCAAAGTACGAGTACCCAGGCTCCAAAGCACGAGCACAAGGAGGGAATGACGGAGCATCGAAAGACCCTCGAGCGTGCCTTGCACAGGCTCGCTGAATCATGCTATCACCCCGAAACCCTAAACCCTAAACCCTAAACTCGAAACCCCAAAACCCTAAACCCCAAACCCTACTAGTAGGTTGAAGGTTTAGGAGCCGTCGGAGAATCAGGCATGAGCCGACATACTCTGCTTAATAAGTGTCTCGAGAGTACTTGCTTGTGCTGTCTCAATCTGCTAGAGGCTCTTGGGAATCTTTCGGGCCTTCAGGTCCCCCGTCAAAATCCGGTGCCTCCTTGGGCGGATGGGAAGTTCAAGAGAGGTCAATACCTTTAAGTCCTTAACTTGAACGGACATGGCGCATGGGTTTTCAAGATCCGGTGTCGCGCGTGAGCAAGCGCAGACTCGAAATGCCTAGAGCCCCCCCTCGATCCGGAGGGCCACCGAGATCGCGAAGGAGGCAAGCCCAGCAGATGCAGCTTACCGGGTGCCTCGCTGAAGTTACTTGGGGGTTTAGGGTTTAGGGTTTAGGGTTTAGGGTTTGAGGGCTTCTGAGCTTTGGGCTTTTGGCGGCATTCCGGCGTGGCCTTCAGTCTGGTGGCAAGAGAAGGGTACTGGGGATTGCTCGCGAGCTGGGGGATGAGGGCGAGGGTTAGTGGGAGTTTGGGGCGCCGGGTTGCTTAGGGATTTCGGGTGTAGTGTTCAGGGTGATTTTTGTTGAGGGCTATGGTTTCTTTGGGTGTCTCACTGCGGGATGCAGACCGGGTGCTTTCACGGAAGTTGGCTCTGTAGCGGCTTGGGTTCATTGTTGCGCCTCATTTTGTTTCTAGGTCCCAAGCTCTAAAAACATTCTAAAAACCCAAGGAACCCTCAATCGTTGAATCATGCTTGGACTTTTGGACCTTCTGCTCTGACGCATCGGAAGATTGTAGGGCGCAGGCAGGGTCGCTCCTCCTCTGGGTGTGGCTCGGCTTTCTTCGGCTAAGGCGTTCAGGTTTGGATCTAGGGGACCGTGCAGAACCGAAGAAAAACCAAGCACCGCGCCTTTTTTATTGGAGTTCCCTCCCCTTTTTGGATCATGAACTTCTCAGCGCATCTTTCTGCATCTTTTTCCGTCTGCTCGAACTTGCCGAGTTCTGCTGCCTACTCACCCCGACTATCCCTAGCTATCGTGGCACATCTCTCAAGAATTCATGATGTTTGATGGAGATGTGCTGCCATTATGGCCCTCTGCAGGAGAGCCTTCTGAAGGAAGTGCTCAAACTTGTGGAGCGTGATGGGGAGAAATCGTGATCTGGCTGCCACAGTGTTTTGCAATCATTGCTGTCTCTGCCAGCCGGGAACCATGTCATGAATCTGCCCTGAAACCCTTGGCTGCTTCTCAGGTCAGCAGCCGTGCAGCTTGAGGAGGCTCAGGCAGGAGAGCTGAATCGGCTGCACCCTCAGACCACGACAGTTTTTGGCAGCCGTTGCTGACTCAGGCCCTACATGCCGGCAACAGCAGCACAAGCATCGCCGCCACCACCACCAGCATGGCCGAAACCACCACGAGCCCGCCGCCCACTACCACGTCTACAAAAGCGACCAAGGCTCCAACAACAACCACAACGCAACCTGCCACAACTACCAAGAAGTCCACGACTGTAGCTGCAACGACACACCCCAGCACCACCAAGCGGCCGGTGACCTTCGAGATCATCACGACGACGGTACATCACACTGCAGCTCCTGTGATCCAGCACGCCCCACCTGTGACGCTGCCTTCGGACATGTCGGACTGGCACCATGACGATGCAAGTGCAGATCACTGGAGTGCACACATCACCGACCATTGGGATGCACACAGTGAGCCCATGCACGAGGCGGAACCCTGGAGTGTGCACACCGATGCAGGTGAGCATGCTTATGATGGTGTAGGATGGCATGACGCCCATCATTTCGAGGATGGTGCAGGGACCCATGACATGGCCGAGCACGGTGGCTATGGGGACGTGCATGTCGACGACGCATGGCACAGTGACCACGGGCTACCGTATGAGCTGCCGCACGTGCATATTTCAGTTGAGCCACCACCCGCTGGCTCCGCACCTTTGACTGTGGAAACTGACCATCCCATGGCTCCGGTGGCACCGCCGACACCTCCTTTGACCGAACAGGCCATAAAAGATTCCTCAGCTGCCGGGACGGAGGCAGCAGATGCAGCAATGCAGATGGGTGCCTGAGCTTGCAATTTAGAGCTCATCAGGGGTCTTTCCATAGCCGCTCTGGATAAGGTCTCTCTAAGTCTCTCGGTTGCTGAGCTTGTCAACCTAAAGACCTCATGGAGCCATGTTCTATCGAAGGCTTGCCAGCTGAACGGCAAGCTTCCGTCGCTGCTGCAGCTGCAGCAGCAGCTGCCGCAGCCGATGGCATGTCACATGACGGCATTGCAGCCTCGTTGTCTTCCTTCGTTGCTTCGTTTCCCAGGGGCTTGCAAACATCCCGAGGAGCCATGATCAGCAAGCGGCTGCAGCGCAGGTGCTTGGCCGGGTTTGGCCTGCCTGTTCAGCTGTGTGCATCAATCATTGAGACTTGCCAGGCCGCTGCTGATCATGCACGCTGGTCTGCGGGCACAAGCTCCACCCCGCCACCCTTGGCGCCAGAGCATCAGGGCTTCGAGGAGACTTTGTGCTTTTTCGGGGCCAACAAAAGCTCTTCTTCTTCTTCTTCCTCTTCTTCTTCTTCTTTTCTTCTTATCCTTTTTGTTGTTGTTGTTCTTCTTCTGCTTCTTCTTCTTCTATAGCCTGCTTCCAGGATGCAACGATCGAGACTTGGCCAGCTTTGTTCAAAGCGCAAGGCTGCCACAAGGCGCTCCGCCATCGTTTCCGCCAGCTGTTGTGTGCTGTCGTCGGGCTCTGCTGTTTTGATGTCTCTGTGTCTTCCTGAACTTTGGTCTGTGATGAAGGTTGCATGTGGCCCGATCGATGGGCTCAGAGCTTAGCGGCTTACAGGGGTGCGGCAGTCATGCGACATCTTCTGGCGCCTCCCAAGACGAACCAAAGTAGCCAGCACGCTGTTGATGTGTCGGACCCAGTGTAGCAGCGCTGCCAGGCTGTTCCACGAGGTTGGTGAGAATGAGGGCCATCCGATGTATGCCAAAGATGGCGAAGAGGATGCCCGAGCCCCGCAATTAAATGTGTGGATTCGCTCAGCTAGACAAGTGCTTTCGTTTGGCCAAGAACAAGAACTGGCACCCCTGCCTGTTCCCTTGCTCTTATCGGCCAGGTGACATTGTATTTCCTCAATGATGACGACATTGCCAAGAAGGGTTGGTGGGTGGGTCAGTTTCCAGGCTCTGGCACTACGCACTCCGGCCGCAGATAAGAATAAAAACAAAAGAACCACCCACTGGGAGCACATTGAGGGAGTAGTTCCACTTCTTTCCTCCCCTGGTTCAACCCTCCAAGCTACATCAGCAGCTTCAACACTGACAAGTTGCAGCGTCAGGTACGCTTTCAATCCGTCGGAGGCGCTAGCCTTAGAGCCCCTGCACAGCTACAAATCGACCGCATTCAGGGCCCACGAGGCTCTTGGGCTTGCCACCGAATTTTTTTCAGGATGTCCTTCCTCCCATGGTGGGCTGGCGCGTGCCATGGAACAGCCCGCTGCCAGAAGCTGACTTGCGCTTCATCAAGACAGCCCCTTGGCAGAGGATTATTGGCCACCTGGCATTGTGCCCTTGCGTTGCTGATTCCGGTCTTCTCCCACCATGTCACCACGCCCCTAAGCAGGATGAGCATCCGCTCGATTTGGACAAGGCAAGCTTTGCCATGCTGTTGCGTGAATGCGAGACATGCAAAGAGCCATTGTGCCTGACCTTGCAGCCTCCACCGTCAAACCACAGCCACATGCCAGAAGAGGCAGGGATGAACCAATCCAAATGCTAGGCGGTGCCTGTTGTGCAGGAACCTAAACAGCGTATTTCGGCGTGGTGGCCCTTCGAGGGCCATTTTTCTCAAGCTCAGGAAGCTCACCACACCTTTTCCCTGAAAAGGAGTGGGTGCACATGCCGCCGATGGAGCACCTGCCTACAGACCCGATGCCAGCTCACGAAGCCAGCCATTGTGTCAACGAGACTGTGGCTCCCAAGGGTTCTTGGGTGACTTGGACGAAGTGGGGAAGTGGGCTTTGTTAGGAGGAGCAGGTGAGCAAGCCACATGGCGCAACCTTGCGCAGCTCTGAGGTTGTTTACAATGGCTCCGACGGTGCGCACTCGTCCCTGCCGGCATGGCCCCAAGACTCATGGGAGGTTTGCAGGGATCTGACGGAAAGAGCGCCCGTCAGGCCTTTTGCAAAGGATTCGACTCCAATGCGCTGGTGCCGGAGGCGGCTGGGCGTGTTGGTCTCACCACAGATTCAACCAAACTCTGTCAGATAGACATGCTGGTGCATGTGCGAGGGTAAGTGACCGAGACCAGCCCACCAGGAATGCTGCTACCTTCCGAACTTGCCGAACCTCTTCAATGTAAAGTTTGAGGAGGTCTACGCCCATCATGGGAGTTGTGCCGACATTGAAGGGCATGGCCTGCCTCCGAGATGTCTTGATGGCAGTGCCTTCTACACTGTCCTCCTCAGACGGGGCCTGACGAACGTGCTTACTTGAGGCCTGTTCCTGGAGACGTTCAAGATCAAGCTGAAGTGCAACAGACGCTAGACTCAAGAGCGTCGCTTCGTTTGCAGTGGCTTGGCCCGTGCTTCCTGCTGCCAGATGACAACTCCATTGTGTACGGCCATGATTGCGACATGGGCTGCCACTGCGGATCTGAGCGCATCTATCATCATGGATGCGTGAAGCTTATCTCGAGAATGTGCAAGTTTAGTGCTAGAGTCTGCAACATTGGGTTTCGTGACCATGTCACAATGCAGGCTATCGTGGAGTAGATCGGATTCCGGCAACCACGTGGTTCTTTATCGTGCGCGGCTGTGAGTGTGATGCGGGGCTGAAGACTCCCTACCAGGCGGGTTTGCATATTAGCTTCGGTAGTTTGCATGGCTGGCTGGGTACTGACAGCTGCGCGCTTCACGACCAGGCAATCACTGGACGCGCCGGTCCAGAGCTACACATCGATGAGCTCCCCTCCTTGGAGGCCACAGAAAGGGGCACCAAAGTGCAGCGGAGCGCAGCGCATGCTCTGCAGGTGAGTGGTGGTCAGGATTCAACGACAGCACGAGTGATTGGTGGGTGGGCGGCCCATCACGTGTTGCCCTAATGCACGCGCGGCACGCAGTCTGCAGGTTGGACACAAAGAAGTACTTCATCCTGATAAGTCGAGCATGCAATTAGAGACTGAGGGTGTATATGCCCGTGGACATCCATCACGACAAGCCCAGCTTCAAGAAGACGGGCGCTTCCGCGGAAGATGAGGCGGACGTGCTTGAGTTTCGGGGTGTGCCAGCTGAGTCTTTCGATGCCGTGGAGCGGAGGTCTCGATGTATTACGGCCCGAGCAGTTCTGGAGAAAGCGTTGGCTGGTGGATAGGGTCAGGTGCAGGCCGTGGCCTTGGCTCAGTGTGTTTGCATCAGAAGATGTGAAGAAAGAGGTGCATGCTGGACCCAGGAATGGCCCACGTGTACGCATTCAATCCCAGCAAGGCCATCAATCCTGGCAGTACCCTAAACTCCAAACCCCATGAAGTGCCGCCGCACGAGCCCGATTTGGTTGCTGATGGCCGCGCAGGAGGAGCTGCCACCCTACAGCGGCTGGAAGGCCCCTTGGTGGAGCGGCGTGGATGCGACTGTCAAGGTGGACATAGCCGACAAGGCCCGCTGCTCCCTGTGCAGTCCAGGCTGGCAGGTGCAAGGATCTGACATCATTCTTCCCAGACCAGTGTGCATGAAGGATCATCATCCGATGGATATGATCAAGGACATCCAGGTCCTCGTGCTTCCTGCTAGCGGCGCAAGCGCAAGGATAGTTATGGCGACTTGATGCGACTTGTATTTACAGGAGCATGAGCACATCGACCATGCGGATCATCATGAGCATGAACATGATGCCCCAGACGACTTCGAGCCCCATGAGGAACACACAGCCATCGAGCATTTTTGCCGCTGCCTGCAAAAAGCACCACCACTCCTCAGGACGAGGCGATGAAGCCCGAAGAGGTCATGCCTCCGGAGGAGGACTGGGCTGCAACCTTTGTCTGCTGCAGTGGCTTTCGTGCGACAACCTAGCCAAACCTTCTGCGGCCTCACTTCCAGATACGGGCCCCTCGGAAAGTGAAAACAGCAAATGAGCATGCCACAACTCATTCGGGATGCATCAGTACATGTTGGCGATTTGTCCGGCAGCAATTCTCAGCCCTGCACAGCATGCGGGGTGCGTGGAGACATAGGTTGACTTCGATGCTGCTAGATTTTGGCTGCGTCCACCACGTTTGCCACGCATTCTTGATGCGAGTGCTCAGATCTTTGTTGGAACCGTTAAACCTGACTTAGCAGAATTTCTCAGACTTCATGACGACATTTCAAATTCATTGGCCGGCAATTAGGCTTTCCGCACACCATGATATTGCAGAGGATTTGCTAGTGTAGGGATATTTCAATGGCCGGTGGTCGTGTTCTTCGATTTTTTTCCGCTACTTGATTTGTGGCCGCGGCCTTCTATGTTGCAGAAAGAAGCAAAAAGAAGCAAATAGCAGTTAATTCGGACATGATCGCAAACGGCATGAACACTTGTGACGGTGCGTCTGGTTGCAGAAACATCAAGCTTTCTTTGTAAACGTCAAAAACGAGAAACTGTCCAGAGTTTTGGGCACGTTTCACAAAGGGCTTGTGACAGTTCCAGAATTGCCAAACATCCTTGTGCATCATGCTGCATAAAGAAGCAAGAAAACGCTGCAAATTGCAGGTGTTTTGGGCGTGGTTAGTTGTTGAACTTGCGCCGTGGCTAAAACGGCATCCACGGACCCTCGTGAACCCGTCTGAAGCAGAACGCCTCACAGGGCAAAGTGAACATTGAGGAAGGGTTTGTTCCACGTTCCTTGAAGCCTCTGAGTTGAACATCCCTGGCAGCTTGCAGGACCATCCGCACGAGCACCTTGATCCCCATAGCATCCATCACGAAAACTGGGAGCCGCCACGTGGACGCATCGTCTTTTTTTCTTGCGGGCCTGCAGCGACTTTGTGGTGGAATGGACAATAGATGACCTGAATCCTACAAGCCTTGAACCCTAAGCCATAAACCCTGATCCCTAAACCCTAAGCACTGTCATTTGCCCCTGGCTCGGCTGAGGATCATGGATGCCTTCTCCAAGGCAAATGAAGGCACTAACCAGCAGCACCTTGGCACACCGAGTGTTGACTACTGAATCTTCTGCAGCGCCGTGGTGAATGCTGGTCCTTGCAGCTTGAGCGTGCCCGGTTTTTTGAGGATCATGAAAGCTCTGAAGGCAATGATGGAGCACATGAAGGTGTGTGTGTTTTTTAGGGCCTCCTTTTTTGAAGAGTCGACACATGTTGTGCCGCAGACTGTGCGCCCTCGGGTCCCTTGCAACATCTGTCCAAATATCTCTGTCCCTTTTCGGTATTTGGCAGGATGTGGAAAAGACGGTGGAGGAGATGCAGGCTTGTGCGGCACTTCGGGGATGTGGGGAACACTTCTGCCTGGACGACGGAATTTCCCGCAGAGATATCATGCACTGGTGGAGGAAGAGCTGCACCCCATCTCGCCTTTGCACCCTTTGGACGAGGCGCTCTTCAGAGTCGTTTTGGGCCAGCTCCGGCGCCTGTAAGGCTGCAAGCCGCCTGCTGACTCCGCCCCTGCAAGGCCGAAAATGCCTCAGCGCTGTCATCCAAAGCCCTCGCAGCCAGCGGTGCCTGCCTTAAGCTCCCTGTATCTCTCATCAGTGGCAGCTGGCCATGCCTCAAAAACTCGCCCAGGCTGCTCGACTGCTGATGTATGTGGCAAGATAGAAGGGCAGCTCCGATGCAATGGTGTCTGCGTGCGTGTGATCAGCACTGCAACAAATTCCATTCTGCAGAGGACATTCTCCCCGGCAGGGTTTTACTTGGGGCGGCCTGTCTACCACAGGCCTGGTCCGTGTGTGGCTGTGTATGCTGCGCCAAAGCATGTTCCACAGCGTTTATTCCCGCCGCATGCCATGCTTGGGCCAGCACATTCTTGGCTGATGCATGTCAAAGGCATGTTGAGTGCCGCCAATGTTGCTAGAGCTCGCCTAACGTGCGAAGCCTCTACTCTACAAGAAACGTGGCATCCTGCCCAATACATCGACCTTGGTTGCCTATGAATATGCTGTGTCGGTGGGGTGATGCCGATTACGATGGGACCTTATGCACGCGATTTTCCCGCCCCTGAAGCACGAGGTGCAATATCACGCAGCAGGCCCCACCAAGCCCTAACGCATGTCGCTCTACACGGAGACAGAATCCACATTCTATGTTGCGATGGACAGCGGTTTTAGTTTCATGGGGGTGTTTCCATGCTCGCTCGTAGGCAAGAAGGAGGACATGCCCGAAGCTCAGAGGGGGCCTCTGCATCTTTCAATGTACCCTCCCCTGTCCCTCTCTCTCTCTCTCTCTCTCCCTCCCTCTCTCTCTCTCTCCCTCTCTCCCTCCCTCCCTCCCTCCCTCTCTCTATCTCTCTCTCTCTCTCTCTCTCTCTCTCTCTCTCTCTCTCTCTCTCTCTCTCTATCTAAATATGCATAGATACAGAGAAAGATATGTGTATACCATCCGCCTTAAACGCTTGGCTTTAAACCCTGAAGGCCTGTTGTCTCTTCCACAGGTGCTGATCTACTACCACCATGATGGAGACGATGCGAGTCTTCATGGGTGGTGGTTCGGGCCTGACACCATGGAGTTTGGAACAGAGCACAATTGGGCTTTCAACCCTGAGGACAGCGGGGAGTTGAACTTTCGCGAGTAGGGCAGTGACTTTTTTTAATGACAGGACAAACTCATTCTGAACAGGTAAGTAGGGGAAGGTGTTTATTTGGCGAATGTGACCGTCATGGGCCAGCATGGACACACATGAGTCAAGTGTGATGTGTTTCTGTAGGTCAGACCCTAAACCCTAAACCCTAAACCCCAAACCCTAAACCCCAAACCCTAAACCCTAAACCCTAAACCCTAAACCCCAAACCCTAAACCCTAAACCCTACTTTCATCCTGCCAGTCCTGGGTGTCCCCCTGATCTGCAGGAGTCCGGCACGCCACCGCTCTCTGGCTGGCATGTCCCTTGGAACGGGCCTGTGGACCCAGCGTTCAAGGTTACAGAGGTGCCGGGTTAGGGTTGAGGGTTTAGGGTTTAGGGTTTAGGGTTTAGGGTCTAGGGTTGAGGGTTTAGGGTTTAGGGCAAAAAGGGTTTAGGGTTTAGGGGTTGCATATGGCAGGGTGTACGGATGGAGGTGGATTGCTTGAAGGCATGTGCCTGGGTCCGAAGACGCTTTCGGGTTTGCCATGTCTTCGTTTAGCACTTTTACCTCTCCGGATTCTGGTTCTTGTGGGCCCTGACCAGGTGGAGGAAGTCCCGATGGACATTGTCAGAATGAACCGCAGCTTCCCTCCCCCTCCTCCCCTCGAGGCGGGCTCGGGTTGGACGGGTTTGGGTCTGAAGGCTTCTTTTTGCCCTTTTGGTCGTCCCTTACCCTCCAGAATGAGTCGTTTCGCAGATAGCAGTGAGAGCTTGCCAAGGGCAGGTGCCCCTGTGCTGCCAGGATCCGGTCCACGTCCCCACCGATGGAGCACCGCTGCCACCCGAGCGCACGCTGCCCATCACTGCCGCGGCCTCAGCTCTGCGGAACGTGCCCTGGCTAGGGAATTTCTCGAGAAGAGATGCCTGAATTCCCGGCGGCCCTCTTTCTCCCAGATGACTGTTGCGAATACCTGATGCCTTGCTGATGTCATGTTCCGCTACAACTCCGGAGTTGCACTGGCAAAGTTTGCCGAGCTCAGGAAATGCCCGAGCACGCGCACCTGGTCCCTCCGTCAGCGTACAACAAGGAGACCCTAGCGGGGGTGTTGTCCTAGACTCATAGATACCATTTTTTCATATTTCTTTGGCCTTGTGAGCACTCGTGAAGTTTGGCTGGTTCCTTGCTTCCATCTTTCTTTAGCCCTGAACCCTAAACTACCCTGAGCATCTCGTCACTGAACCTGGTCACGAATGGAATCTGCACAGTGCAATAACTGGATTGAAAAAGGGCACCCTGAAGCTAGGTTCCTTTCGGTCCTGTCCCTATGAAAGGGATCCCTAGACGGGCCTTCAATATACAGCAACCCCTCCGCATGGGCTGGTTTTGAGTTGGGACGGTCTTTGGGTGGGCATCTCTGCTTACTCTGCCCTATCCGCGTGCAACTCGGCAACCCTGAATAACACTCTCACCGTCGTTTGGCGGGTGGGGTTTCTTGGCTGCAGGATCTCAGCGCCGAGCAGGCACGCGAGGCCGGTTGGCTCTTGAAAGAAGTGCTCCTTTTCCTCGGTGTTTTGGGTTTGGGGTTGAGGGTCCATGTTCCAAGACATGCTTTTGAGCCCACACACTTCTTTTTTGGGATGCCCACTTCGGTCTGAACTCATGCTCTGGCTAAAGTGTTGAAGTTCCATGCGGAGGGATCGGGGTGTGCAGGCTGGGAACATGCCCCAACTAAGAAGCATTTTGTGCTGTGCTTTTGGCAAGTTGTGAAGTCTATCCTGGCTGAGTTGGTCTCTCAGTTCCAGTATCCTTCCATCGGTGAGAGAACTGTACTTGGGCCTGTGGCTATAAAGTTCTCAAGGCTTCGGGGTGTTCCCTTGGCCCTCTGCGTGGGTTGCAGGGTTCTTGGCCCGACCGCAGGTCATCAAGGACCAGGCCCAGATGATATCCGTAGCCTCCCCAGCGGTCGTGTGTATGGTCGGAGGGAACCCCCCAGGACTCTTCTTGTAGCTGATGCAAAGTCGAGCTAAGGCCGCGGTGAAGCAGCTGCGCCCCGGACTCCTTTAGTGCTTGCGCCAACTTTTTTTGGGCGTCATGCAACGTGACACCCAGCATCCCTGAAGTGCCCTGGCTTAGCAGTTCCAGTTGATGTGTCGCAAGCCCTCTCAGGTCCAGTGGCAAGAACCTGGCAGACCTGGTCTTCGCCTCTTGTCTAGGAAGCCGTCCTTGAGCTGTGCAGATGCTCTATAGGTTTCGGCACCTCGCCAGATGAACAACCCCCGGTGAAACGCTTGCTTGGGAGATCTGTCTGAGGGCATCGACACAAAGATGATTCCCCGTGAGCCGCCAAGCGACGAGTTCATTGCGAAGTTGGCAGAGGAGCGCAAGTGCCCGGCTGTTTTGCCACGTAACTTCTCACGGGAGTGGGCAGGATCCGGAGATGGCGAAGAAGGCGCTCAGCAAACTTGTGGCCTGAAGGGGAATTCGAAGTCTCATGGTCAGTTCTCCAACCATGCTGTCATGCCGTTGCCATTTCTGAGCATCACGAAACAACCCAAGGTAACGGTGCTGGAGGAGGCCGTCCGGCGGTTGGAGTCCGGAGAGGCTTGACGGTCATGAGAAAGTTGCAAGAAAGAATGCGCCACATGCGGGGCAGCCCTTCCAGGCCTTCGCTGATGAGATGTTCGGCCGCCACATGTCCGACAAGTGGTCCGATGAGGCCTGACATTGCGACAAGATGTTTGTCGAGAAGGTTGAGGGAGACGCAAGCAACAAATTCGTCGATGCCTGCCTGCCAGGCCGAGACGAATTTCACTCAGGGCTCTGCTGAGGCACAGCCAGAAGCAGCAGCGGAGCCGCCGGCAGATGCGCCAGCAGCCGCACCGGCGGATGCCGCAGCTGTCACAGGGAAGAATGAGTCTCAGCCAGCGGTGGGAGTCACGGCTTCTTGGCCGAGATGGACCTGATGTGGCTCTTTCGGGAGCCTCATGTTGTGTCGTGTGCAGTCGGCCAGGGCAGAAGAGGGTTGTTGCAAGCATCAGAGGGACCTAAAGAAAAAATGTTTCTGATGAACTTGGCCTGTTGAAAGGACCAGGGACCCTAAACCCTAAACCCTAAACCCTAAACCCTAAACCCTAAACCCTAAACCCTAAACCCTAAACCCTAAACCCTAAACCCTAAACCCTAAACCCTAAACCCTAAACCCTAAACCCTAAACCCTGAACCCTGAACCCTGAACCCTGAACCCTAAACCCTAAACCCCCCCAAGACCTCAGCCCAAGCTCCGACCAGACCACTGCGCCCTCGGAGCCGCCCATTGCAAATTCTGCGGCCGCGCCCCTGCTGAAGGCCGTCGACAAGGCCGAGGGCTGGGAAATGGGATTCGAGATTCCTTTGTCAGAGTTGGGTAACATTGTATAGTTTTACGGGTACTGAAAACCTATTCCGGCATTCAAACACAGGATGTGGGTAAGAGTGGCCAAGGGGAGGGAGGTGTTTGGAGCTTTACCTTCATTTGCTCTCCGTGCGGCCTTCCCTTGTCTGGGGCACGCGCTGTTGCGAATGAGGTTCGAAGGGCTGTGTGATGGTCCATATGTTTCGGCTTGCTGGCGGTTCCTACCTTCCAGCCTTCCAGCCTGTGCCCTAGGTAGCTACCGCTGCTAACACTGCTGCTGAGAAGGCTCGGCGCTGGAAGGCTCCGTCGGGATGTGGCCGGTGATATGTAGGGTGGCACGCGAGCGCGGGAAGTGCTCCGGAATGTCGTACATGTGCGCCGTGAAATGCCGTGAGGATGCAGAAATCGCGGAAGACCGAGCCAAAAAGGAAGCAGAGCAGGCACGCGGGGAAGCACATCTGGCAATGATGCTCTTGGGTTTTAGGGTTTAGGGTAGACGCTGTAGGTGGTTTGAGTCGGTGACAAAGTGGGCGAATTTGCCCCAAAGCGGCTGTTTTCATGAGTTCTTGGTCAACATGTGCAGCTTTGCTAGCGTGCGTTTGCCTGGCCTTTGGAGCGAAGCCAGGAGTGAAAGAAAACAAAGCAGCGCAAATGCGGTTATTGCTACTGCGAATACTGTCATATTTTAGTACTTACTCTTGCTATCACTACTCTAATTCGTTTTGCCCTTGTGTTTAGTGTGTCAGTAGCAGCAGTAGTACTAGCATAAGCATTAGTCATAGCATTCGTTTTCGTCTTCCTCCTTCTTGTGATTACGAAAAGATTCTTACTATTTTCTGTTTCTTTTTGCTGTTAGCCATTGCAACGCTTGCTTTTTGGCTATACCGTCTTCGTATCATTAGTGCTAGCTGCTCTGTCTAGCACTTTACTATGACTGGATTTGCTCTTGTGACGGCTACTTTTGGGTTAGCCTTTCTTGACCGACTCTAACTTGTTGCTGTTGGGTCCATTCATTCTTCTTGACATGCTTCATAGGCTTTCTAAGCTTGTGCCACAATTCGTCTCCGCACAGGCAAAGAAGGATGTAGAAAAGATGACGGTCCAGGCTGCGAAGGAAGAGGCTGAGAAGGCGGCGCCAAGAATTCCAGTCAGCGGATACCGAAAGGAGCTTCAAAAGCACCCTGAGCGCCTCTGATCGAGACAGCTCTGTTTTTTGCGCTAGCATTCGTCGTTGGTCACATGGGTCAGGCCATAGAGCAAGCGGCTGACGAGGAAGCCCGGGAAGCAAAGGAGGAAGCGAGCAAGGAGCTGCTCTGGCCACCGATTGCTCTCTCTCGCCCTGGTGATGCAATCTGAGATTTGATGCGACACACAAGACTCGACAGGAGGCAGAGACAGCCCAAGGGGAAGCCAAAGCAAAAGCTACCAAGGACCATCGCTTATCACACCGTTTAAAGCAGATGCCACGGTGACTGCTGGTGAACATCCTGCATGTGTAACATACTGGCGGAGGTAGCAGCAGCCAAGAAGAAGCTCGAGGAGCTCAAGGGCCAGGTTCCAAAAGAAGCCAAGGATGCGGCGGACAAGGTAGCGCCCCCTTTGTCACCCTGTCGGGCGAAACTTGCAAAAGGGCAAGCAAAGTGTGCGCCCGAGTCCAGCTGTCGAAGCCTCTGCCTTCACAGGCCCTGCACAACGCCGTGGAGCATGCGCAAATGAAGGAGGAGAAGGTGCCAGCTATGCCTTAAGAAGCCTGAAGAATCGTTTGCGAAGGTCTTGTGACACCTTGACACGAGCGATGGGCTTGTGCCCTCGCTGAGCTTGATGATCGCAGGTGCATGAGGCCAGGTTCGCCCTGGAGGACTTGGGCTCGGAAGCCCCGCCCGAGGTCAAGGAAGCGGCGGAAGAGGAGCGGGAAGCCATGACAACAGCCGTGATCAGAACTTGTCAGACATAGCTCAGAGCTAGCTCAGGCATGTTTGGGATGTTGTGGAGCACAGGGCCTTGTTTGCAGGCCTTGTCCAAGGCGGAAGAGGAAGCGGATGCCGCCAAGACGGAGGACTGCGAGCTGAGAATTGACCCCCCAAGTTTCTGAAACCCTAAACCCAAAACCCTAAACCCCAAACCCTAAACCCTAAACCCGAAACCCTAAACCCTAAACCCTAAAGCCTAAACCCTAAACCCTAAGAGTGAGCCAGGTTGAAGAGGCCCGGCACACCCTGGATGCCATGAAGACCACCGTCACCCCGGAGCAGCGCGACGCCGCCGAGAAGGACGCTTGGGGGATGACGAGGGCGACGTCAGCAAAACGAACCCGAAACCGTTTAGGGTTTAGGGTTTCGGGTTTAGGGTTTAGGTTTAGGATTTACACGCTGTAGAGCTTAGATACCCGTTTCCGTTCCGTCAGTGTTCTGTCGCTGAGGAGGATGCAGGGTGGTTTTCTATAGATTCCGGGTTTCTGAGAAGGGTCCGCGCCCTGAATGGTGGATGGTTGTGGCGTGCTGCAGCTGCGCCCGGATGTGTGGTGCAGTGAAACGCACCTTTGCTTGTCTGCGTCATTGGGACTACCCATGCAGGGGAGGGAGCCATGAAAACCGGGTGCAGGAGCTGGCCCAAGCAGAGGAAGAGGCTAAACAAGCAGACGACAAGGTGCGTTCCGTGCGCCACTATTATGTACTATTATGCCATCCATCTTGTTTTTTCGCTTCCTCTTTGCCATGCTGGGTGGGTTCTTCGTACGGTTGAATCATCTTGATCCTTCGGGTTGATTCTGTTGCCAGGCCAAGGATGCAGCCAAGAAGGCTGGGGACATCAAGCTGACCAGCCACGATCCGGCAGCCGACAACGTCCTGTACACTGACAGCCGCCGACTTACCTGCCGCATGGCGAAGCGTCCACCCTATGCTGCCTCTGCATGCTTCCGAGGTAAAGTGAAGGAGGACAAAGGCATCATTCTCAGCCCCATTGATGTGGCGCCACATGAGTACATGATAACTTCGCATCCGTTCGCATCCTTGTGCCTCCCAGGCGGAGCCGTCGTGATGGGCTCTGAACCCCAAACCGACACGGAGAAAGACCTCCAGGATGCTATGAAAGGTGAAGCGAGTGCTGTGCTTATGCCAAGAAAGCGCGTCGTGCGCAGGAGCAGCTCTCTGCCCTCCAGTCCAAGCTGACCGGCCTCGAGCGCCTCCAAATCAAGGACGCAAAAAGCCATAAACATAAACGCCATACAAACCAAAAGGGCCGCAAAAGCCATACAGCCGAGTTCCCCGATGTGAGGGCCGCACAGGGGCCAAAAGGTCAGCTAGTGGTCTGGTGTGAAGACCTCAGATCTGGGCCTAGCCCGTAGCAAGTGCTGCATCTGGAGCAGCGATCGGTGATGGCGAGCGCCTTCGTCTGCGTGAGGACAAGCTTGACGACGAGCTGAAAGAGAAGGCTTCGCTGCGCCAAGCTGACGTGGAGCCTCGCTCGGCAGCCATTCCCTAGTCGATTCCCCCCGCGGGCACTTTGTGATGCTGCACGGCATCTGTGGCACTTGTGTTGTGCGCTTCAAGTGGACATGCGCAGCATGCGCAGCACGGATTCAAGGGCTCCACTCGGGACGTGGAGATCCACGCCGTCCAGGCCAGTTGCGCAATGTTAATCTTAAGTGAGCTTACGTGACTCTTTTAGGGTTTTTTAACGTTAAAAAACCCTTAATCTTAAGTGAGCTTGCGTGACTCTTGGGCCGATCTCAGCATCCTTTTCTTCGCCAGGCCTCGCGCCATCTTGCCAGCGAGAAGGCGCCCGAGGAGGCTGAAGTGCTGGTCGCCACCAAGGAGCAGTCGACGAAGCCCAAGAAGAAAGGCAAAGGATCTGTGCTGGCGGTCGCCACTCGGCCCTAAACTTCGAAAGCCCAATGTGTGGCATATACATGTGTTATATTCTTGCATTAAATTAGTCGCATTCTAGTGCAGAGTCATTATAGCCTTCCTTTATGTTCTATACTATATCTTGCTTTAAGAGCTCCCCGCTCGCACAAGGTTCTTGTCATCACGGTCATCATGGGCGCGGTCGCGGGCGCCGTCTTTCTGAAGCGCCGCAGGAAGGCCAAGGACTCTGGGGGGGAAATGTGGGGAGAATGTCACGTCCTGCGTGGCTTGGCCGTGCTGCCGTGCGTTGCCCCTTCCAGGAGACCAAAGGTCCAGAAGAGACGCCACTCCTTGAACAGAAGGAGGCTGCCTTCGAAGTTGCCCGTGCTTTGCCAGCGATGTTGCTGCCCACCTCCTGTGGCGCAGGAGAATGGGAATGCAGAGGCCGCTGCACCCAGCAAGGCGAGCGACGAGGCAGGCTGCCGAACGGGTTTGGGGTTTTGCTTGGGGCAGCTGGCTTTCAGGCACCAGCCCTCCAAGAATCATCGGGTATTTACAGTTACACTGTTTTCGAGACCATGGTCTGTTGTAGGGTCCGGCAAGGTGCTGGTTTGCCCCCCTAAACCCCCCTACGCCCCGCCCCGAACCGAAAACCACCTTATGTGCTACTCGCATAACCACCCGTGCCTTTCCTGAGAGGCAAACGGCGTTGTAGCTCGTAAATTTTTCAGGTCAGCTATGGTGGGAATCGCATCATGCGTCAAGCAATCCCTAGAGTCTATGTGTGCCATTCCAGTTGGAGACAAGTGCGACTGCAGCTGGATGCTGCAGTGTATGCTTTTCAAATCCCTTACAACATTGGCAGGATTTTGTAGGGTGTTGTCCATAGTGTCTCGAATGCGATGCTTGTTGAGAGGCCTGTGTGACCTGTTGATGGGTGATGGGCGAGATTCCTGCTAGGAGGCTTGTGAGGCTTCCCGGAATGCTTGAGGGGGTTGCATGTTGTCGATCTGGTGCAAATGCTGCTGCGCTCCAGGAGGCCCCCAAGTGGAAGTGCTGCTGAAACCCTAGATCCGAAATTCTCGAACTGTTCGAAGCCCTCACGCCAACCCGAACACCCCGAAGTTTAAGACCCGACTGTAAACCATAATCTCTACAACCACCCTTTGGATCCTTGCTGCTGTGTGCGAGCATGAGAGTCGACACCACCGAAACGCTGAACCTGGTCTGCTTGGTGATTTGGTGGGTGCAGGTTTGCAGGTTCTACACTTCCCCCGTGAACCTGCCATCTGAGTTAGTTGGGGAAGGTGACAGCCGAGCCGACGAATGAGAGCCCAGCTGCGTAGCAGCTTCCCTCTCGAAGCCTCTGAAACCAGGCAAGCGGCTTCAGAATTCTGGTTTAGGTAGGGTGTTGTTGCCAAGGTTTAGGGTTTAGGGTTTAATTAGGGTGCATTCCCCCGCACTCTGGGCTAAAGCTGCAGGAAAGCCGTTTTGAACCTTTGCCTCCTCATGTTCTGCTACAATCTAAGGACAGTTAACGGACCGGATGCCACAGCTTTCGGCTTGCTTACGATTGCGTGAGTCTCCTTTTTGGGCTGACAGCTCCTCTTCTGACGATGTGCTAGTTCGTCCAGCTATGCGGGTGGCACGAGAGACGATGTGCTGGAGGGCATTGTCTTTCACTGTCAAAAAAAGCAGCTGCACTTTTCGTTGTGACCTGTGCAGAAGAAACCTGCACGCTGTCCACTCACGCGCGTTTGCTTGAGGTCAAGCGCACCACTGCTAATAGTTGCCGGGATGTGCTTGCTGCGAGCATGTCCCGGACTGCGTTGTCAGGCGCAAAATGACACCTGCTATTTGTGGCAGTTCTGGTTTTTATGTTAGGTGAGGTTACAGGAGTGTTACAGTGCATGATGCATGTGCAGCCCCAGCAGCGCATCAGAAGGGCTGTTTGCCGTCATCTGAGTACTGTTGGATGAAGGATGGGCCGCGATGGATTTCGATGGTACACCGGTGAGCCTTTCCAGGACGGACCAATTTCCCGCGAGCCCATCAAAACAGCATTGCGTGCATCCGAACATGTCGAAGCTGTCTCTCTCTTCCCACGCTTCAGCCCTTGAGTGTGACGCGACTGCCGCAGCGGCTCGGAGGCAGCTTGCGGAAACCATTTTTTTAACGGGTGTCCGCCATTGTCCGCCTTCCGCGCACTTCCGTGTGCGGCCCGTGTGGCCCGCGGCGCGAGCGGGCACCACAGGCAGATACCTCCGTTGCAGGGACTAGGCAAATGTAGGCCGCCTATATCTTCAGAGCTCCGGGGGCTTGCATGACTTGAGCTTTTGCATCATGCATGCGCACCTATCATGCGGAAACTTAGGGCATTCGTACCGGCAGCAAAAACACTGGTGGTCAAGGAGTCGGAGTTGGCTATTGGTATCAGCGTGGTGCAGTACTGTGCGTAGTAGGTCGTGCCGTCTTGTGCTGTGTTGTTCCATTGGGCTATGCCATGCGTTGCTTTTCCTTGCTTCCGCTGTAGTACAAGAGTCGATGGATAGCTTAGATACTACCCCTTTGGCTTGCATGCGCCTGTGTTGCACGCGGTTGGTGGTTGTATGGGATGGGGCGTGTGGTATTGCAGCATGTCCCTCGTACTTGCACCCTACACCCTAAACACTAAACCCTAAACCCTAAACCCTAAGCATTCAAGCATCTTGAGCATCACTGGGCAGGGTCGTAGCCATGGCCGAGCTCTCCCGCTGGCAGTGGGCATCTCGCCAGCACTGGTCCTTCTTCTAACCCTCAACCCTCAACCCTAAACCCTAAACCCTAAACCCCAAACCCTAAACCCTAAAACCTAAACCCTACACCCTAAGCCCGAAACCCTAAAAGAGCGAGGATGATGTGGGAACATGGCGAGACTTTGCGGAGCAGTACCAGGCAGGGGCATGCAAGCCCCCGTGACCCAACATGCGAGCAGGCCCCTTCCGTGTGGTTTTTCTTCCTGTGGGTGTTACGGAGAGGCGCAGATGGAAGCAGCGACCTGGCTGCAATTCCTGTAGCCATTCTCTCGCTCGGACTCCGATGCCTCCCCGTCTGACCCACTCACCCCAACACCCAATATGGCCACCAGGGAGCCCTCGCCTGGCTTGAAGGATTTTAAATGACCGAGCCCTGAGCCCTAGCAGTTCTTGGGTCGCGGCCGACGAGAGGCCTACCAGCGCCGCGAACGAAGAGCCTGCCTCGGAGGAGAGGAGTCTTCTTTGGGCCTATTACAGATTTGCTACAGATTCGCTGGTACACGATGCATACGAGAAAGCTCAAAAACCCCGAAAAGCCTTAGGGCCTTGGAGCCAGTGGCTTGCCAAGGTGTGGAAGTTGCCATTCCACCATTCGGCACTTTTCGTATGGCCGGCTCCCCTTTCCCATGTGCATCTGCATTGCATCTGCTGATGGGGCTCTTTCCGGTCGTGTTGTGGAAGCTTTGAAGATCCCTAGGACATCCAGAGGATGATCCAGGTCACCGTGCGGGGCAGGAACCCGGGATACGAGTCAGCCCACCCAGCTCAGCTCAGCCTTCACGGCAGTCGCAGCACGTGAAGCCGCCATAAGCCGCCCTGTGGCCGCCTGTTCATGTCCTGCCGGGAGGTGGAGGGGGGGCCGGGGGGGCTCCATGAAGGAGTTATGCAAAAGATGGGGGAGCTAGTGACATGCCTTCCAGTGTTGATCAACATGGTCGAGGCGAGAGATCCGACGCCAGGTTCGGAAAATTGAGCTTGGCCAGCGCCCCAGGTGCCCCCCAGATGCCCCCAGCTTCGCTGTGCAAAGCAAAAGTTAATATGACCACTTCTCTAAATGAAGGTCCCTTTTTGGGGTTGCTATCATAACCCCAAAAGGGACCCCATGATGTTGAGAATTGCCCATGTATGTGCGGAGGGTGTCCCAATGCCTGCGTGGCGAACTTTGCAGGCTACTTTCTCCTCGGCTACGAAGGTGAGATCTGCTCGTCCGACTCATTGGTGGATCGCATGGAGGCCGCTCCGGGCATTTGCAGGCTTTCGAACCGATGGAGCAACATCTCGCAGAGATCGCTCAGGATTCCGACGTTGTGGAAAAGCTGGCGAAGGACGGCTTGCTATAGCCAGCTTTACTTTAGCCTTTTTTGTGGCTTTCTTTTCGCTTTTCGCCGTAGCTGTGCCTTCGCCTCCTGAGGTATTGCGGAGGATATGCGATGAACCAGAAGAGTTTGGCTTCCGCAGCCTGAACTTGGTGGACGATGAGTCTGAGCCTGAGCCTGATGCCAAACGGACCACCTTCCATGACCTGTTGGGTAAGCCTGTGTGTTGCGAGTTAATTTATTCAGATGCTTCCAGGCAGGCAGCTGATTCATTTGCTTGTCGTCCGTACCCTTGTATGCCAGGTTCAGGGACAATCTGGGAGCGAACAAGGACGCGCAGCAGTTTCTGGAAGAACTCGGCGCCGCTGGCAAGTTTCGAAGCTTGGTGTGGGCTGGGCAGGGGCAGGCAGTCAGAACAGATGTCCCGCACCCCCCCCCCCCCCCCGCCCGGAGTAGTGCCAGAGCATCAGGGCCACAGCCGGTCTCGCTCCGGTAGGGTTGCGTGACAGGCTTCGAGCTCATCAAGGAGGGTCCACAGCGGCAGCCTCGGCATCCCTGCCTGTGAGAGTGTCCCATCAGGGTGCAGATGGGGTTTTCCCACAATAGGGGTACCCTGCTCGGGCATCCCTTTAAAGGGTATTTCTATTCTATTTGGGGTACAAAAGGGGTACCCCGATTTTGGGACCCTTGAGGCCATGTTGCGAGGGTGTCTGCTGGAAGTGTCGCATTGTCATCATCGCTCGCTGGGCTTCCTTGCCTGAGGTCCTTTATGGTTTTCATGCAGGAACAGGACCTCCCCTCGAGTATGAGCATGATGTTGTATCCCCTAGAATAGCTGATTCTGGGGCTCCACAGAAGCCGCTGCGACAGGTGGACGGCTTGCGAGGAGCTTTGCAAGACGTAGAGGCAGTGAGCTTCAGAAGCTGCCCTGTGGTCGTGCTGTCATACAGTGGTTGTGCTGTCATACAATAGCTGTTTGTCATCATATAGTGTCTGGAAGAGTTTCAATCAGGGGGGCATGCAAGCGTCTTTGGTGAGAGGAAGCAAGCCAGTCAAGATGGCTGCAAGGGAAATATAAAGACACGGCACATGTTGTGCACAGCGCAGAAAAAAAGCATTTATTGTTGAAACCGCCCGCAAGGCCAGGTTGAAAAAGCTCGGCATCTCGCCGGTGGAAAGCAATGTCTGCAACGCTGTCGCTTGGCTAAAGAAGCAGGAACGGCGTATAGACAAACACGCAGATAAGTATGTTCTGCTATGCCATGCTGTTGTGAAACTGTCAGGCTCATCTTAATGTAATGTAATGCAATGCTATATTCTACTATACAACATATTCAGTACTATCAGTATCATCCTTGTTGGAGGGTTCAACTCCAAGAGAGTCGCTTCTGGGGCAAAGAGAGCGTGTCTCTCATCCGTAGGGTCTTTTCTCTCTCTCTCTCTCTCTCTCTCTCTCTCTCTCTCTCTCTCTGTCTTTGCGTAGCCTCTCCAGAGGGGATTTGAATGGAAATGGTTACCACTGCGACCACTCTCGGCGGTTTTGAGCTCCAGTCGCGAGGGGGCGAAGGAGTCAGAGCGGCACCCCCCCACTCGCTCACTTGCGGCTCGCACGACTTCCCCTTCAGCGTCACGAGCTCGCGAGCGTGCTGCCAGCAATGTGGTTCATTTTTCTCCTTCCAAGGCTGCTGACAACAATGTTTCAGAGTCCAACGACGTCGTTGAATCAAACAACGTCGAGTCGAATGTGGTCAATCCCAAAGTTGCCAGGCAGCAGATTCAGATAGCAGATCAGATAGCCCAATATCTTGTATGAAATCAGATAATCTTATGTCGCATGTTTGAAAACTATTTAAACGAGTGGAATAGTCCGCAGATGCTTGAAAAGCCCATGGCTCAGGTTGAGCTGGACTCCGAGAATGTCCCAACGAAGGACAAGGAGACCATCAGCCCGATGCAGGAGGCAGCAAAACTGAACTGTTTAGGGTTTAGGCTTTAGGGTTTAGGGTTTGGGGTTTAGGGTTTAGGGCTTAGGGAACCTGAACAACCTCGCTCACAGGCAAGCTACCACAGGAGCCCTGAAGCAAAAAGGGCTTACGGAACTTTATGTGGTTCAGGGCTTTGTCTGCATCCAGGCAGCGAGCCCAACCACTCCCGCGCAGTGTGGGGCGCTCCAGATTCCCTTCTTGCAGTTCTTAGGGCCTAAGCCTACCAAGTCTAGGCTCGAGGGATGCCAAGAAAACAGAAGACAAGGCCCAGTCGACGCACCAGCGAGCTGTGAAGTCACGGTGGTCCAGCGCTCAGCCAGGGTAAACATGCAGGTGCCAATGGTGCCGATGAGCAGTTGTAGTGGGCAATTGCCATCACATGTGGTGAAAGATTGTGTATGCATCTGCAGCAGGGGCTGGGTAGTTTAGAGGGAAATCGCTTGATGCAGTCTCGGTAGCGGGTGTCCTGTTCACATGCACCGGCGACCTCCACGGGCTGCATGGCACTTTCAAGGGTCAGAGCAACCGCGGGCTGTTTCGTTCATCTTGGAACAGCCGCATACACATGACCCGCAGCAGCCACAACAACCAACAGCCCACATGCAACAGTTTCGGGTCTGTCGGTTTGCCAGGTTCTCCCTTCTGGCGAGAGGCATTGCCTCACCCTGCCAGGGCCTCGCAGGAGCCTCCCAAGCAACTACTACAGGCCTTAAAGAAAGAATGTATGCATTTGTGTATATAATACATGTAGAAGCTGGTGTACCTGTTTATGTATAATGCATGTATAAGCTGGTGTACCTGTTTATATCAATACACATGTATACATATATATATATATATATATATATATATACATACACAGAAATACACTAACAACATCTATAAACAAACTAGAGCCAAGCGGTGCCACGACTTCAGACGGACAGCGGACAAGGCTGTCGAATCCGAGGCCAGGAGACGCAACACTGGAAGAGCTCCTCAAAGAGCTCAAGGCGCACCTGGGGTTTAGGGTTTAGGGTTTAGGGTTTAGGATTTAGGGTTTAGGTCCCGACATATCTCAAAACCCTCCGGACGCATGAGGTGATGCGGAGAAGACGCTTGGGGAGTATCATCGGGTAGTTTACATAGTTTTCCTTCTTCTGGAGGGTCCTTGGCGAACTGTGCAATCTCCGGTTGCGCTAGGAAACGAAAGAAGTTCAGATATGCGCCCTCGGGGCTGATCGGAGTTACAATCCTCGAGGGCGTCTAAAACCGGTGTCTCGCACGTGGTGTCGCACTTGGTCCCAGAAGCTGTGTTGAATTCGTGGTCTCTTTGGGCCCCTTTCCACCTAATCCCTGTGCAGAAGAGACTACTTCCACCCCGCCGATAGGCACCCTCTAGAGAGCAGTCGCAAAGCTGAAGCTACGGTACGCTGTGCAGGTAGTCCTCCCAACTGTGCGCCTGCCTTGCCTGAAGCGTCAGGCGGGGCAAGGGCTTTGGCGGAAGTAGGATTTAGCCAGGAAGTTCCGGGATGGGATGTTGGGCAGTTGGGAGATGTAAGAGTGTTCAGTGCTCGGTATGGACTCCGGCGGGCAGATTGTCGTGTTGATGTGTACCGCTGACTGTGGGGAATGCAGCGGGAAATCGGTCTCAGGATGTAAGAGTAGTTCGTTCGTCCTGTAGTTTCCCAGCACTTGGGCTGCAGGAGCAGCAGGAGCAATGGCCAAAGCTGGAGGCGTGCTTGCAAAAGAAACCTGCCAAACCTGCCTGCAACAGTACGTTTTCGTCCGGCCGAGCCATCTACCATCATCTGCCGAAAGTGCGTCGTGCCAGACCTTGCTCCGGAGCCTTGAACCCAGCAAAGAGTTGCAGAATCCGATGGCTGCCAGGCCAGTTTGTCCGGACAAGGAGCCACCAAGACCAAGAAGCGGAAGGGAGCAGGGAAGGCCAGGGCAAACCCCAACGCATGAGAAGGGCCCCTGTTGTTTGTCTAGGAGGTATTGCACTGAAACTGCCTTTTGCAAAGTTTTGTTTTGTGAGTAGTGCCCCTCTAACTTCTCCAATGTGCTGGCACATGTGTGCATTTCGTGTCTTGCCAGGGCCATGGGAAAGGCAAAGCAGGGAGAGGGAACCCTTCAAATGTCCGCAGCCGCTAGCCCGCACATTACGTTTTTTACGCCTCAAACAGGTTTCTTCCGCAGGCTTTGCTCGTCCTTGCTACGTTGTGCAGCTGCGAGGTCCTGCCGAGACCAAGCCGGATGCGAGTTTAACGCCAGAAAGCAGCATGCTTGGAACAGGGGGCACCATAACTCTTGCAGTGGCGGCAGTGTGCCATGAGACGCAGTCACGTTATTTCGAGGCACCGACCCGGTGATGCACCAAGCGCCGATTCTGGAAATGAGCCTTGCTTCGGAGTCGGGGCCTTTGGCCTCCTCTACGCCCAAACCATCCCTGGGTCTTTGCGACTTCCGCAGACACCAAAAGGCCCCCCCTTTTTTGCCCAATCCCAACACCTGATCCTCGGAGCTTCTCTCAGGCCTGGCGTCGCCTTGTGGAGGGTCTGCTCTGGCCCCAGTGAATTTGCGGGGGTTTTGTGTTTTGGGGTCCCGGGTGCCTCGTGGTCAGAACCAGTCTTGATGGTGCGTAGCCTCAGGGGTCTGGCAGGCGCAGGTTTGGGAGAACCACGGCAGGTTCTTAGTCGGGAATGGGGTGCCCTCGCACAACCCTCTATGGGACTATGGGGCCTACTTCCCTACAATGAACTGGCAACCCTATACCTAGGCCGTGAGCGGTTTTTTGCAGTGCGGTTGCCACCCTAAACCCCTCAACCGCTGAACCACTGACCCCTGAACCCCTGAACCCCTGAACCCCTGAACCCCTGAACCCCTGAACCCCTGAACCCCTGGACCCCTGGACCCCTGGACCCCTGAACCCCTGAACCCCTGAACCCCTGAACCCCTGAACCCCTGAACCCCTGAACCCCTGAACCCCTGCACCCCTGAACCCCTGAACCCCTAAACCCCTAAACCCCTAACCCCTGAACCCTAAACCCTAAACCCGCGGGTGAGTGTTCTGCTCCAACCCTAAACCACAGCGCGTGTGACACTTTGGGAGTCTGAAGCCTCTGAGGGAGGGGGGAGCTGGGACAAAGAAGCCGGCAAGGGAAGATGATTCCTCCATAGTTCTCGATGAAGCAGTAATGTGTGTCATGCCCTGCAGTGCGTCTCTCTGAGTCAGCTAGGCGGGTAGCAAAAAATCGCCCCCCTTCCCACTTCCCACCCTAAACCCTAAACCCTAAACCCCAAACCCTAAACCCTAAACCCTAAACCCTAAACTCTAAACCCTAAACCCTAAACCCTAAACCCCAAACCCCAAACCCCAAACCCCAAACCCCAAACCCTAAGCCCTAAACCCTAAACCCTAAACCCTAAACCCTAAGCCCTAAACCCTAAACCCTAAACCCTAAACCCTAAACCAACCCTAAACCCTAAGCCTGCTTCAGCAACCCAGGCCCTCGACATGTGCTGGCCCGCGATGCGGCGGGCAACCAGCTGCAGAGCTCCAAGCCGGTGCGTGGGTTTAGGGTTTAAGGTTTAGGGTTTAGGGTTTAGGGTTTAGGGTTTAAGGTTTAGGGTTTAGGGTTTAGGGCTGAGGGGTGGAGGGGTTGAGGGGTTTAGGGTTTAAGGTTTGGGGTGAGGGTTCAGGGGCTTCTCGTTTAGGCTTTGGGGAGGTTTTTGGGGGGCTTTCGGGTTTTAATGTTCTTGGAATCATCGGGGCGGGGGGTTTAGGCGTGAGATTTTGGTTTTTCGAGAGGCTCCGGACTTGAATGCACCCCGTTTGCGTGCAAACGAAGTCGCTTGTGTTTCGTGAGGCCCGTGACAATTGAAGCGGCCACAGACGGTGAAGTGAAGGGCTTCCCACCGCCAGCGCCTAAGTTCTGCCAAAGTTCCCAAGGGTTTAGGGTTCATTCAGGGTCTAGGGTAAGCGCATCACACCACGTCGCAGGGCGAAACTTAAACCTTGTACAGGCGTCCTTGCTCCGTGCCCTGAGACCTGTGTTCGGGATGTTGCTCTTGGTTGTTGCGCTGTTTGGCGAGCCTTGCCTGCCCTGTGGCACTGCATCGAGAGACGCTATGAGACTGCGAGAGTCGACCTTTTGAACCCTAAGTCCCGAAGCAGAAGCCCTAAACCCTCGAGCCCTTCTGAACCCCAACTCGGCCAAAGCTACCTGAGCCCTCCTGGGGCTCTCAGAAACATGTCTCCCCTCAAAACGAAGCCCGGAGGGACTCCTCAGCAAAGCCTGTGGTCGAGCCGGCCGTGTCCTCAGAAAAGGCTTCAGGGCTTGTGGGTGGAGTGGAGTTTCTTGGCAGGAGTACGGGGCAACAACAAGGGTTCTAACATGTTCTAACGATACAAGACTTCGGGCTGGGGACTTGGTAAGTTCGAGGGTCAGGTAGGGGTATAGGCGTAGGGTTCCAAAGGGTGTTTTGGTGAAGTCCAGCCCCGGTGTGGCGGCAGAAGAACCGTGCGAAGGTTCTGGTCGAAGACTTCGAAGAAGCCTTCACCAAGCGGCTGCGACGGCCTTGGAGTTGAAGCTTTACACAAACCAGTTCCCAACAGAGGCGCCGTCAACCCTAAACCCTAAACCCTAAACCCTAAACCCTAAACCCTTAACCCTAAACCCTAAACCCGAAACCGAAACCCGAAATCCTAAACCCGAAACCCGAAACCCTAAACCCTAAACCCACTTGCGACACGGGTGGGAAAAAACCCTCAACCCTAAACCCTAAACCCTAAGCCCTAAGCCCTAAACCCTAAACCCTAAACCCGGATCCTTGCCTGCGCTTGCGCCCATTGTGAGACCCCAGGCCCAAAACCCTTTGGGCTGTAGTTAGGAATGTCATGATGGTCTGGGCATTTTGACATCAGGTTGCGACGTAGGGAATTTTTCAAGCAGTTGTTCAGTGTGGACCCTCTAGAGTAGTCCTCGCGGTGTGCACGAGTACCGTGGGGGTTGCAAAAAAAGGAAACCCTCAACCCCAGAGCCCTCCTTCGAAAAGGCAGACCGGTCTCCTTCGTCTTCGAGACCTTGCTTCCGTAGCTCCTTTGCCCGGGACTTACGCGGCGCGGTGACGTGCGCGTTTTTTTGGAAGCCCTGGGCCTGGGCCGCGGCGCTTCGAACCCCGCACGAAACTCCTGAAAATCCGAGCCTCTCCGGACGCCCTAAGACCCTAATAAGCCCATTATGGGTATTGTATACCCCCTCGATCCTAAGCCCGGAACCCCCGAAGCCCCAGACCCGAAGCCCTGCGCGTCGATCCCAGTCAGCCAGTCAGGGCAGAAGAACGCACCCTAAACCCTAAACCCAAACCCGAAACCCTAAAACCTAAACCCTAAACCCTAAACCCTAAACCCTGAACCCTGAGCCCTAAACCCTAAACCCTAAACCCTAAACCCTAAACCCTAAACCCTAAACCCTAAACCCTAACCCTTGCAGGTTGGACTGGGAAAAGCCCGAGCTGCCAAAGATGCTGACGGGGCGCGTGAGGTCGCTCTTAGAAGGCGCGTGAAGTCGAAGCCCCACATCTTCAGGAACCGGGGAACTCAGGGATGTTCAGAATTCAGGGTTCGCCTGACAACCTAAACCCTAAACCCTAAACCCTAAACCCTAAACTCTAAACCCTAAACCCTAAACCCTGGCCTGAATGTTCCTTAATTTTCTCATCGGACTCCAGAAGAGCTCCTCGCAACGGGGGGCTGGGATGAGCTCTGAACCTTGAAGCCTTCTTGCGAAGGAGGGAGAGAATCATTCCGTGCTTAACGTTTCGCACTCTTCCGGAGTAGTGTTGTGATGATGCACTGCTCCGTGGGACTCTGCATGTCAGAAGAGCCAATCGAGTTGGGGATTTCGGCGTTGCGTCGTTCCATGTGCATGGGGATGGAAGTGACTGTGTGGACGTGTCCAGAAGTTGGTTTTGACTTCCTTCTCACCCCACCTTTCTGCATCTTGCTGCGCGCAGCATGTAATTGTGGTCGAGACATTGCCTGGCCGCCTGGCAATCTGCTGTTGTTATCCGAATCTCGTCTGTCCTCGGGATGGATGGCAACACTATGCCAGGGTCCAGTGAAGCTTGGTGCAAAGCTGCCGGCTGCGTTTGTTCAGATGCTTTGTTGCATCAAAGAGTTGTTGTTGGTCTAAACCCTAAACCCTAAACCCCTGCGACACGGGTGGGAAAAACCCCAAACCCGATACACAGCGTGGTCTTAGTTGTTGGAAGTTTCGGACTCGGCATGGGCTGTTGTTGTCTTGGGCTTTAGCTTGGACTGTATGCAGTTCTGGCAAGGAAAGCTGTTGCCAAGGGCTCTAAACCCCAAACCCTAAACCCTAAACCCCCCTAAACCCCCCTAAACCCTAAACCCCACCCATCACCCCAGCTGCTACATGCCCACGCTGTTTCTTTGACACAGTTGAGTCTTTGTTTAAATCTACAGCTTTCGTGGGTTGGGCACAAAACCTCAGCAGTTCAGAGGCTCTGTTGAAGCAACCTGTTTCTGCTTTGTCAACAGGCTGTTCCACCTTGTACCAGCAACCCATAATAGGGATTATAATTGGGGGTACTATCATCCCGATGAAGGACTGTGAGTATAAGGGGGAACGTCCCAAGCTGTGTATGTTTACTCTTCGTGCTCCAAGGAAGAGCTGCAATGTGCGCGTGCAATTCTTCGCCGAGTAATGGAGCCCAGATTGGTTTCCAGAGCGGGCGGGAGAGTGACGGCATGGTTCCAAGGTGACTCATGTTCTGCATGCCTCAGAGAGGCATGTTAGATGCATGTGGACAGGAGCAGTTTGTGTGCTCAAGCTCCTTAGCCGGTGACGGCAACATCTGCAGGAGCATCTGCTTTGTCCTCAGGTCTATGGCAGCTTGCCAATGGACGAGAGGTTACGGCCTGCACCTCATGCTTTTGTACGCTCTGCGTGTCACGCAAACCAAAGTCCGCACCCTACACCCCAAAATCCTACAATTCTGTGTGTGGGTGCACATGGCTCAGGATTTGCAGAGAGCTCCTGCCTCCAGAGAAACGAGACCGCAAGGTGCCGTTCCGCGAGACAATGTCTCATGACAGACTATTCACCGTCAGAGAAAGTCTTGATTACGCGCGGCACTTTGGGGCAGGCCCATCTCGAAGTGGATCGCGGGCAGGTGCGGGTGGTAGCAAATCCATCGGGTGCTCACGTCTTGGCCGCCAAGTGTGTTTTTCTTGTGGCGCATGGTACACCCATGAGCGCTTACCCGGCAGTCGGCTTTGCCTCTAACCGTCCGCATGGGTGGTGAGGACTTCCTCAAGAATACCTTCACGGGGCTCATGAAGCTGACTGTGGAGGACCGGCAAATATCGGCAAGTTGGTCAGGGTGAAGCAACTTTCGATGGCATGGGTAGTGCTCTAATTTTTGCATCCTTTCCGTACGGGGGGGGGGGGGGGCTCGGCCTCTTCGTAAGCCAGGAACTCCGAAATCCTTTGAGCATCCGCTTTGCTGGCGAGGCCCGCCACCCGTGATATACGTAGGCTTCGATGCGGACGACTCTCTCGTCACATGAATGCTGAAGTAAGGCCTCTGCAGGCGTTCATGCAAGGAGGTCTAAGCCTTTATGGCATGACGACCGGGGTTTCAGTTCTGTGAGAGTTGAGATTCACATGATTGTGTGATGGTGCTCGAACCACCAGTGAGTGGTAGGATGTCTGTTTCACCCCCCCGACTGGCTGCCTGTGGCAAGCTGCGGGTCTTGCTCGCGTGCCCTGGAGCCTTTGTAGATTCGAGAGTTGACCCTTTGACTTCGAGGTGAGAAATCATCGCGCCGGCATGGATCCGGTGCTTGCGGTTCCTTTGAGTTTTCATAACTTCTGGGTGACGGTGCTTTGTATTCCAGTGGTGGTCTGGGCCGTGCAGATCGGTTGCCGTATTCTTGTTGCCGTGTTTCTACACTATCGGCTGAATCTGAGCCGGCCGCTGGTTCTAGAGGGCATGAGCATCTTCGTGGATGACTTCCAGCAGCTCATTCGCCAACACTTCAACCAGATATTGCGAATTCGCCGGACGGTGCCTTCAAAGGAGATCTCCCAGATGCAGGTCAAGGTCCATGTCCAGCCTGAGAGCTTAGCAGTCCAGTTTCTTACGGGCGACAGTGACAGGGTCATCGTGCAGTTTTCTGCCGACGCGTCGCAGCCCTGCACCGTGAGTCTGTTCTGGGGAGTTACCGGCCTGGCGTGCCAGGACATGATTCGCCGCGCGACTGAAAGGCGTGGGCAGGAGGGCCAGCTTGTCTTCGCGGACCTGGAGCGGGCAGCATCCGCTGTGTTTCCGAGTGGCCAATATGCCCATCGATCCTCGGCAACCATCCCGGCTGGACTTGGGCAGAAGGTGAGACTAGGCAAGGCACATACTCATGCACATGCTATCTTAACCCTGAAGCCGAATGGCTGTCGGTTCCGTTTCTTGCTTGAAGCTTATCCATGTGTGTCTAGTGGCTTTGTACCGGATCTCCCATACAGTCGCCCTGCCCAGTTGAAGACCTGGCAACGATCAACAGATCGGGCTTTGACCTGCTAGAGTATGCCATGAGGGGCAATCGGCCAGAAAACATTGTGGACACCAGGACTGCGCAAAGAGACTTAAAGAGACTTGAGATGTGCTTGCAGAGGTCACCGGGCGTTAGACTGATAGAAGTAGGCAAGAGCAACTGTTCTTCCAAAGGTTACGTAGTCGAATCATTGAGCCTCACAAAAAACGATGCTACCCTGCATCCTCTCGCCTTGCTCGGAGGATTCCGCTCGTGATTTGTGCGGGAGTGCCAGGGCGCGTTCTGGACGATACGACCGCGAACGTGCAGTTGACATTCGTGCCTTGACTCAAGATCCGTGCCGCAAGCGCCGGTCCAGGTGTGGAAGTGTTATGTTCCAGTGCATGGTTCGACTTGCGCGAGGTGCGTTTTCGAAGCGAGGGCAGATCTGGACCTCTTCACCCTGAAGTTGGCCGCCAGCTGGTGGCATCCAAAGACTTGTTCCACCAAGTCTTGGGTATTTATGGCTTCGAAGAAGGAGACAGGGAAACCGAATGCATGGTTTGCTACGATCGCCCGCGAAGTGTCGTCGTCCTGCCTTGCCGACACTGCTTCGTGTGCCCCTCCTGCCTTCGGTCCCTTCGTGACGAGAAGTGCCCCATGTGCCGAATCCGGGTTGCATTGAATCACAGATCAGGGCCCTGTTCGTGCTTGTGCTTGCAGTTGTGTGCCGTGACTTGCTCAGGATCGACATTCTCTGCATACCTCCTCTTACCTCTTCTACAACACACGCAGGCTGCCCCGCCCCCTATACACAGAAACTTGGTGCTGAACTGAGGGACAACAATTACCGAACATGTGGCAACGAAAAGAATGCGCTGCCGATTGTGATTCAAGAAGTCTTTGCGAAAGGGGAAGATGCTTTCATGCGGTGATGTTGAATTTCGATTCTTGCTGAGCAAAAGGTTGCCGAGGACTATGGGGGCCCGCGTCAGGCACACAGCTGCCTCAGCAGCCACAGTATCATGTTGACGGTTCCTCGCTGGTGCAGTACTGGCTTGGATCATGGCGTTCTGAGTTGCAGTTTTCTGGCAAGTACAGAACACTGAGTGCAACACGGGTCTCCGGTCTTCCGCCTGCGGATAGCGCGCGCATGTGCGCACACACAATGTGTGTGTGTGTGTGTGTGTGTGTGTGTGTGTGTGTGTGTGTGTGTGTGCGTGTGTGTGTGTGTGTGTGTGTGTGTGTGTGTGTGTGTGTGTGTGTGTGTGTGTGTGTGTGTGTGTGTGTGTGTGTGTGTGTGTGTGTGTGTGTGTGTGTGTGTGTGTGTGTGTGTGTGTGTGTGTGTGTGTGTGTGTGTGTGCAAGACCCAAAGCCTGGACACCTGAACGCCCAAGATCCGATTGTAGCTGTTGAGCAGTTTTCGTGGTGCCTTGCATCCTGAGGTCGGGACTTCTTCTGCATGATCGGAACTCGCCTGTGCAGTGACTTGCCAGGGCCTTGACAAGCTTCGTTGTGAGGTGCCCATAAGGTTGCCTACAAGCATAGTAAAGAGATGAACCTAGTCGATGAGGTCGAGATTTCATGGTTTTTTCTGCTAGTAGAGGTTCTTTTCTAGCACGGCCATGCTGCTGCACGGGAGGAAAGCCTTGTGGCGTCGACTCCCTACAGGAGCACTAGTCCGGGGCTCACACTCAGCACTTGCGCGCCGGCGGCTGGGGGGGGGCGAGCATCAGGTTGAACCTCCGCATTCCTCCATCACAAGGACTCCCATGGCTACTACGGCTCAAGCCTTGAGGAATGGGCACCGTAGCTGCAATGGCAGAAGCCTGGGCGCTACCCACCGCCAGCGCGCCTTCTCGGGCTCCAGCTGCGGCGCCAGCAAGGCAGAGATGTTGGCAGAACCCAGAACCACGCAGGACGGAGGATGCGGGCGCCCAACGCCGCTGCATGCTGCTGGTCGCGGTGCTTGGCATCCGTAGCCTGCGAAGGGGCCGCGACCGGTTCTCCCACAGGCAAAGTCGAGTGCCGCGCTTTGCGCTCGTCGAGCAGGAAGTTGAGGCCCAGAAGGCTGAGGAGGACGGGGAAGAGCCGCCCAAGCGCATCGTGAATACCCGCGAGGTGGAGCTCTGGCCGGGGATACCAGATCCCATGGTCGACTATGGCGGCTTGCCCATCCCACAACGCCTTGCGGATGCCTTCACCGAGCGTGGCATCGTACAGCCTTCGAGGATCCAGGAGCTTGTCATGCCAAAGCTAGCTAAGGGCGAGCACATCATCCTGCACGCCCCCACTGGCAGTGGGAAGACCCTGGCATACCTCCTCCCAATCCTCGCGAGGCTGCAGCCCACGATGCATGTGGGCGTCCAGGCCATCATCTTTGTCCCTACACCGGAGCTTGCCCTCCAGGTCACGCGTGAGCTCAAGTGGCTGATGTACATCCTGTCTGGTGGTTCCGATGGAGTTTGCTGGTTCAACCCGCAAGTTCCGCAGGAGCTCGCATGCAACGTCTTGCTATCCAGATCGAACCTTTGGGATACCATCCGCCAGGACTCCGCAATCATGGTCACGACGCCAGGAATGGTTCTCAATGAGATCACCCAGCTAAAGTTTGAGGGCAGGCGGTTCAAAGAGACCCTCGCCTATTTCATGGCAAGCAATGTGCAGGCCATCGTCGTGGATGAGGTGGATGCCCTGACCCCAAGGCCGACACCAGGGAAGAACTCCCGGCGGTTTGGTACAACGGAGCAGGTCATAGCCTACATCATCAATGTGGTGAAGAGGCGATACCGGAATCGGCCGATCCAGATGATCGCCGCCTCTGCCACCGCCAACGCGCAGAGAGTGACAAAATTCCTAGACCGGCTGGTTGCTTGGAAGTACCCCAAGAGACGCGACATAGGCCGAAGGCAGACGCCGGAACTGATTCAGGCGGATGCAACCGTGGGCCGCGTGGGCTCCAGCCCCGGAAAGATCCGGGAGAAGTCTGTGGTTCCAATGCCCTCGAGCATCCTGCATGCAGTGGCTGTGGTGAAGGGCCCGGAGCAAGGACAATTCTTTAGCCAGAACCGCTTCAAGCTGATGGTCGACATCATCAAGAACCTGAAAGAGAGAGGTACTGTGCTCCTGTTCGTCCCAGAGCACGTGAAAATGGACGCGATGGTGCTGATCTTGCGGCAATCCGGTGTTGCGGATGTTTGCAAGTATCGCTCTGAAATCGGTCTGGGCATCTCAACAGAGTTGGCCATGGACCCTAACTTCAGGCGAAACCCCCGGAAGAATCCGAACAAGCGAGCTCCTCCTGCCGAGCAGGATGTCAACCCCCTGCTCGCTTTGCAGCAGGGGCAAGAGTTTGTGGACGAGCTGGAGAAGATCGAGCGTCAGGTGCTGGTGGCAAAGGTCCAGGAGGGCAGAGGAATCGATTTGCCCAACGTGCGTTATGTGGTGCAGCTGCAGCTCCCGAAGGCTTCGGGCGAGTACCTTCACCTCTCTGGCCGGACGGGCCGCATGGGCGCGTCGGGAACTTCCATCACGCTTGTCACGGAGGCTGAACTTGCCAATGCGCTGCCTCTCATAGGTTTCAAGATCGGAGCCTCCTTCGAGATGTGGGATGTCGAGCAAGGTCAGATTGCGGAGGGTGCCCCAGTGCAAGCCGCCCTCCCTGAAGGTGCTCCAGAGCAGCTGGAAACCAGCAGCGCTGGGCCCTAGGCAAGAGAGAAGTTTTGTATATCTTGTGCTTTTGAGTGGAAGGAACGACATGGCAGAAGTGCGGCAAGGAGGCAACAAAAGGAGGACACCACAAACCGGAGGACGCCGCAGAAAAAATTGTAGAAGGCTCCAGCAGCGTCTCCAAGCTAAGGCACCGGTCCCTGATGCCGTTTCCGAAGTCTCTCCAAAGGACCATCGGGCGAGGAACTCAATGGGATGTGGGTGGAAAAGGAGCATCCTTGGGTTTTTGGGATGTTGAGAGCACTTAGGGGCACCTGGCCGAAACAGCTCTGGCTTCCCCTCTTTGGGTTCCTAAAATCCAGGCGCAAGGGGCTCCCAACTAAGAGGGGGGCCCAGAAAAGCACCCTAGACGTTTCTGAAAGCAACCCGAGGCGGGCTTGGACGAGGTCGAGGCCGCCCGGTTTTTGCTTCAGTGCCGGGTTTGCCAAAAGGGTTTTCTTCTGGGTTTTGTGGGGGGGGGGGGGGGGGGTGTGTAGGCGGCTAGGAGGTTCATGTTTCTGCTGGCCCCGTGTTGACACCATAGGGATGATGAGGGGGCTAGGCTGCATGACTGGCTTGCAGCCTGAAACTGTGTATGTTTACTGACTGACTTGTTAAGAACAACTGTGCTAACTTTGCAGTTGAGGCACTTCTACTTCTTTGGTCAGCTGCTCTCTTCATTGTTGTTGCATCCGTTTTTTGGTTTCTTGTTTGCATGCTTGGCGGCCTTAAATCCCAACATCCATGGCGGTGCTGAACTCTGGACCTTCAAATTTGTGAGCCTCCTGGAAACCCTTGGCACCCCCGAGGTACAGCAACGGACATCAAAACCCTTGACTTGAATTGTGGGCCCTTTTCGGTACCCCCCCCCCCCCCCCAAGCCTGAACCCTAGACCCTACACCCTCAACCTTAAACCCTAAACCCAAAACTCTTCAGCACCCTAAACTTTATCCCTTGCCACAGGAGGCCTTCCGCGCCTGTGGGCGTGCGGCCGGCCTGGCTGTGAAGTTCCACGGCCGCAGCTCTGCCAGGGGGGTTTAGGGTTTAGAGTTTAGGATTTAGGGTTAGGATTTAGGGTTTATGCAAGCAGTCACTCGGACGGCCTCGAAGCATCCACTTGGAGACTAAACTGCAAAGATAATAAATTACTAATTGGCAAAATTAGCGAGTCTGTCTGTGGAATCGCCTTGACATGGCAAAAAGCCTGCAGTGGATCAGGGTACTCGAGCTGACTAACTAGGGAGCAGGTCTTTAGAAACATTCTTCACTGACGGCGAATGAGATCCGTATGGATAGGGTTTAGGGTTTAGGCTTTAGGGTTTGGGTCGAGAGAGTCGTTCCTGACAGAAGGGCGCTTCTCTAACTTCTTGGCTCCTTCGTTGCGTACCCTCGATGTCAGACAGCCTGGGCCCATAGCCTATTTCCCCCCCCCCGCCCCCCCCCCTTCCGCCCCCCCCCGCCCCCCCCCCCCCCCCCCCCCCCAAATCCTGAAGCGAAAACCCTAAACTTGCCCCAAACCCTAACCCCTAAACCCTAAACCTAAAACCTCTAGGGCTCGGAGGCTCCTGAGACCTCGCATCCGAACGGGTTTCTCTTTCCTCTTCCCACGAAAAGGGGGTTTACGGTTCAGGGTTTAGGTTTAGGGTTTGGTTTAGGGTGCAAAGTCCTGCTTCAAAAGGGTTTTGGGTGCAAAAGACCTTGGGCAGGAGAAGGGATGATTATCACTATTGAACCATTGCAACTCTTCTTGTCGTGTATTGTTTACCGGTTTGTTCGGGCAGCAGCCTGCTCACTTGGGCATCAAGATTTGTGGGACTGGTGTTGAGGCCGGCCAGTAGAATGAGCCGAGGTTTGGGTCCCTTTATAATGTTCATGTAATCCCTAAACCCTCAAGCCTAAACCCTCAACCCTAAACCCCAAATCCCAAACTCCAAACCCTAAACCCTAAACCCTAAACCCTAAACCCTAAACCCTATATTGCAAAATGACCTTGCTCTTGCGAGCTGGTCTGAGGTACGGCGACGTGCTAGCAGAAGAGCTGGCAGGCCAGCTCTGTCAGGGATTGCAGCGCCTGCAGCTCCCGGCCCCTTTAGCAAAAATATGGCGGCGCCTACTCTGCAGCCCCAAATCGTAGGATCTCCTTATAAGAAGGACCCCCAAAAAGGTACCCCTCCTGTATCGTAAACCCCCCATAGAGTGGAGTGCAGCGCCGGGAGCTCGTGGAGGGTTTTGGGGGAGGGGGAGTCGCCGAAGGTGGGAGTGAATGGGTTTTGCAACAAAAAGCACGTGGAAAGGAGAAGGAGGAGGTTAAGGGGCAGAGGGGGGGGGGGAGGAGAAGTTAGTGGGGTTTAGGGGGTAGGGGATGAGAGGCTTCACACATACGGCCCGAGGCCTCGATCAATATACTAAAAAAGAGCAGAGGGAAAATCAAGGAAGTTGCCGCTGCAGAGAGGGCTTCTACGAAGCTAGGAGTGTGGCCTCCGAAGTCTTCAGCCTGCGCATATCTTGGAGGCTTCTTCGTGTACCAAGTGGCCCGCGATGACACCGCGCTGGCCTCACAAGCGGGATTGGGAGGGCACGTTGGCCCGCTGCATGTTTACTGAAAGGTTGCGGGGGCCCAAACCTCTGCGGGATAAAAGGTCGTGCTGGCGGCCTGCGTCGAATCCCTTGTGCCCCAGCACACGGTGGCCAACAGCTGCAAAGCAGAACCGCGGATGGGCAACGTGAGAATTGGGTGCTTGAAGCAGACTGCTATCATACTGGTTGGCGGACATGCCAACTCCTGCCCACGCATGCCTCGGTGTCGGAGACCACAAACCTCAACAACCCTTTCCCTAGATAAGCCGGCGTGAGATGAGAGTCGAAGCCCTTGTTGTGCAGGAACGTAGCGGCGAGGTGTTCTCCGACACCATGCCAGAATAAGCAAGTCATGCTCCATCGCAACACACGGGACAGCGAGGGACTAGGCAAGCTCAGAGTGAAGACATGTCCCGAACTCCCAGGGTCAGAAACCAAGAGACAAACGTAAGACTCCCGAAGCAACCCTAGGCCCTAAGCCCTGAGCCCGAAACCCTAAACCCTAAACCCTAAACCCTAAACCCTAAACCCTAAACCCTAAACCCTAAACCCTAAACCCTAAACCCTAAGCCCATCCCCGGCCCGAAGCCCCAAGGTCGGCTTGGAAGAGCTCCAGCGTCAGGTTGCGGAGTCTGAGGGCAGTCCCGGGCTCAGCTTTTTCTGAGGCTTTGAATCCCCTCCCCGATCTGAAAGCACCCGCCTTAACCCCCCTGCTATGAAGTACTCCCCAGATTAGCTATCAGAGCACTATAATGAGAGTATTTAATATTATGGGCTATGGGATAGGGGGGGGTTTTAAGAATCGGGGGAGGGGAGTCGTGTCCCTGGGCGCAGCAGACTTGCCGAAGCTTCGTGCATACAGCGCGAGAGCACGTGGCGTCGACATCGTTCATCGCTTGATCTTATTTCAGTAGCCTCCCCAGAACTAGCCCTGCTGAGTGGATCGTGCCAGCTGCACCCTGAACTGTAGAGTCCCGACATTGTCGTGCAGGCGACGACATCCGTGCCTCGAAGAAGCTCCTGCCCACTGCTTAGAGGAAACGCTTGCTGAGGCACCGCTTTCTGAGAATCGTGCTCTTGTTGCTCATGCTGTCGTCCTCCACATCCGCTATGAAGTCTACGTTGATATGCAGCACGGCAACAACGCATGCCATCTGAGCCCAATTCGTCAAGCCAGGGAACTCTCCCAGTACACTTCCAAAAAAGAATCCCGATCCTCTGCATTTACTTACCGGCCCTGCCCGTATGTGGCCGCCATGGTGCAGCTGGCCGCTACTGCCTGGGATGCTCGGTTTGGCGACCGGTGACGGCAGCTGGCGGTATGCCTGGAAGCAGGAAGGCAGCACAGCAGCAGCAAGTGCTCAGCAAGGAACATTCTGAACCCTAAACCCTAGACCCTTGTCGTAGTGAGTGGACCTTCCAACCGAATCCTTGCCTGCCTTGTGCGAGTGTGAGAGCTGAAGCCCTAAACCCTAAACCCTAAACCCTAAACCCTAAACCCTAAACCCTAAACCCTAAACCCTAAACCCTTCCCTAAACCCTAAACCCTAAACCCTAAACCCTAAACCCTAAACCCTAAACCCTAAACCCTAAACCCTAAACCCTAAACCCTAAACCCTAAACCCTAAACCCTAAACCCTAAACCCTAAACCCTAAACCCTAAACCCTAAACCCTAAACCCTAAACCCTAAACCCTAAACCCTAAACCCTAAACGCACAGGCCGGTACCTACCGGTGGACCCGGCGCCGCTCGGCGCACACCGCGTCACCATATGGGTGGTTGTCAAAACGATGACCCAAAGACTTAAAGAGCCCAATATCCCTTAATTAGGGAATATTGCTTACTTTATATAGAGATCCTTAATATGATTTAAGGAATATTCCTGAATTAAGGGATACTGGGCTCTTTGGGGATCCCTTTTGGGGTACTCTAAGTATTTGGTGCTGTATTATCAGAGGGATCCAAAAAGGGACCATAATGTTGACAACCACCCAATGTGGGGGTTTACGAAAATCGGGGACGCCCAATTTAGACCCCCAAATGGTAGGATCCCCTTGCAATAAGGACCCAATAAGGTACCCCTTGAATATCGCAACCCCCCATATTTCACAACATGAGCTTGTCGCATTGAATGCTGTTCGGCTAGCCCCCATGAGGAACGTACACCCGTCGAAGAGAATGAAGCACAGGAGCAGTCGCACTGCCGGAGGACTGGGTTGCACCCAAATCCCAGTCCCAGTGTCAAGGATGTCATGGTGTAGAACTGAGATTTGCCTGTGCCTTTGAGTACGAGGCGGCACCATTGGCCTGCCACTAGAGATGGGTTGGGCTGCATCCTGGCTATTTGCCGATGAAGCGAACATTGTGGCGGCCTTGGTGTCTAACCAAAGTGTCTGGCGCTACGTGCACCTACACACGGGAAAGTTGTGCCGCAGTGCTCAGGAGTACAGGCCGTTCTCCTCCGGAAAGTTTTGCAACAACGGAGGCAAAGTGCCATTCCTCGTAGAGGGGCTCTTCGAGCCAGAGGAGTGCATTGAGAGATGCACCGCCGCCCACAACTGCGCCTTCGTCACGTTCTACAGTAACGGCTGGTGCCAGTTGGGTTCCAAATGCGTGGTGGAGGGCGAAGCAGGAGATGCTTCAGCCGCGACCTTTGCCAAGGCCGCTGTGACAGTGTGACAGACTCCGGCACGGGGGAACAGTTCCAAGCCACGGCGCGACATACATCTGCAGGTTCACGTCAAGTCGGCCTGTGCGGAAGGCGCCTGCCGGGCACTCAGAGCAGCGCGCAGAAACCTAGCGCATGAGCTGCCGGTCGTTGCGAGGGTCTGAGTGGGACGTGCTCCAGGTGCGGCAGACCTGCAGCCCTAGGCTGACCTGAGTGCCATAGGAGCCTCTTCACTCAGATGCACGTGGCTTTGCGAAGCATGGCCGCTGCAGACTCGCATGCCCGGGCACAAAAAAAGACAGCTGTTGCCATGGCCTTGCAGCATATCCTCCCTCTTTGGCACAGCCGACATCCACACGTGCCAGCCCGGTCTCCGTTCGTTGCTTCGTTGGACGATGGCTTGTGAGCACCTGAGGGAGAGCCACGTCTCAGAGTCCGGCATCAAGGGTATGAAGCTCACCCGGACGATCACCGGCACCTGCACCGAGGCCCAGATCTGCCTTGGGAGGTGGAGTTCAGCAGGTTAACTTGAATCCCAAAGCCCCACAAGAGTTCAGCAGAAGTCGAAGTTACCAAGCTTTAAACATCCAAGTTTAAAGGCTGTCAGACATCCGGCCGCTAGCTGCGCGGTTCAAGCGCCCCCATGCGCCGTGTGGCGGCGCAGTGTGAGCAGCTCCTGCGAACGAGCCTGGCTGGCCTGGCGGTGCTGGGCACCTCTGGCCATCGCTTCGCTGGAAGCAAGTGTGAGATGCGGGGCTCCTGGTGATTCTCCTCACAAGTGTGTGAAAGGGGCGCAGCAAGAATCCCTAGGTTTGACGATGATCCCCTTGGCCTTGGTGGCCTGGATGGGGGTGGGGGCCTCTTCGGACGACGAGGCAGGGCAGACCACCCTGAGACGAAAGGCCTTGCATGTTGAACTGAAAGGAGCTGCAGTTCCACAAGAAGGGCCCGTGATCAACACTGCACATGCCGCACTGCGAACTTGGCAGGAGCTGGGCCAAAACGTGCGCCAGCCAAGGCGCACGAAATTTGTTTTTGGATGTCTAGAAGCCCTGCCTTGTACACACGCACCTGCTGACATGGATACAGAGCCCGCGCACGTCTCACCCGAGAAGGGTTGCAGCACCCGTGTGCATTGTAATTATAAAGTCAGTCGTCTCTTTCGAGCACCTCCCATGAGTTTTTGCTGCGTGCTGTTCCTGCAGATGTGGTGCTGTGAGGTTCCCGTGTCTATCCTCTGCGGATTTCTCGGTGGCTCGACGCAACCGTAGGATGTGTTTACTACCTGCAGCGCCGACAGTATTTGAGATGCCGAAGAGGGAGCGCACGAGAGTTTGAAGGCAGATGAGGGTTGTGAGGCAGGTCCCAAGCTTCCTCTCTTGAGGCGCGGGCAAGACGACTATGGTGCAGCACGTGCTGAAGAATCGGGAAGGCCTCAAGGCCGGCAACGCAAGTTCCTTAAACCATGGCTCCGTATTCGTAGCGTCGTAGCGGAACTTCAATCGGTGCCCGATTTCTAGCGAACCTGCGGAAGGAGAGCTTTGCTTCTCTGTGCACACAAAGTTCAGTGCAGGTTGAGGGTATGAATCTGGTGGGATTTCGACACTGATGGTCCCGTAAGTTTCATGCGCCAGAAGCTGCACGGAGTTGTCTGTGGGCAGGTTGGCGTTGTGGTCAATGATGTGGCCGAGGTGAACATCGACTCAGAGGTGCGTAGGAGCTCTGAATGGCATTCCCTCTCTCCAACTCTGCCCCTCCCGCTCCCGCTCTCGCTCTCGCTCTGACTCTCTCGCTCAGGTCTCTCTCTCTCTCTTTCTCTCTGTCTGTCTGTCTGTCAGTCTGTCTTTGAAGCATGAACACATATTCAAGAAATTACATACAAGTATATACATTTTCCAAGTCTAAACTTGACTGTGCTACACGCAAAATATGTACAAACGCCCTGCGCTACGTCTATAGATATCTAGTATCATTCATCTTCGCACATGAGCCCACGCGCACGAAGGTCCTGAAGTTCGAGGATGCTGACGGCATCGTGGGGCTGCAGAATGGATGTGCATGTTGTTCTGGCAGGCACAGACCGCCTTCTCTCCATGCAATTAGTTCAGATTGTGTGAGTGGCGGCAGGGCGATCAGGGAGGGTGATGCAGATTCGTCATCTGCAAGCCCCGAAGACCGCAGCACTTTTTTTTGCTCAAGGGTTGCTCAGCCTTAGCCCGGTATCCCGTTGTCGCGTAGTGGCGCAAGAGCTACTCGCCATGGGCGGGGTGTACCGTCGGGATTTTGCACACTCCCGTTTGCAAGGCGGCTTCTTCTATATGCCACAGGACCGCGAATGCCCGGAGCTCCGTCGCCAGAAGGCGCGGATGATTGCCGCCCTCGGACTGGAGCCCCCTGCTTTCCGTCACTTCAAGCGCCTGGCGCGTCAAAGTGAGAGAGAGCTCCACCAACGCCGCAGTGGACCCGGTCATCCAGAGGTCTTGACTCCAATGGTGGGGTCTTCTGGAAGCGCAGTGACTGGCAGCAGTGCCTCAGAGTCTTCCGATGGTGCCACATCAAATGCAAAATGACAAAAGGCGCCACCACCACCACCCTTTGCGGCGAGCGGACCAGGTGACAGCGAAGCAAGTTGCAACCGAAGTGCAACGAAGTGCCAAGGCTTTGTAAAAGCCCAGTTCCTCAGCTCCTGGTACTCCTGACCTACCCTTCCCACCGCTCCTCCTGAACCCGTGCACACAGTACTGAGTAATGTAAGTCCATGTAAATCTGAGAGCGGGCAGAGATCTTCTGCGCAGGTCTGGTTTCCAGGGCACAACCTTGGGGACTAGATGAACCCTTAAAATTAAGGTCATGTACCCTAGACTACTATAGTCCTGATTAAGGTGCTTGTCCCCAAGGAGACTCCAACCGTAAATCCAGTGGTGTCCCATGGGCTTCCTGGTTTGCTTGTATAGTGCATTTGCTACGATGCTTAAGAACCCCAACAAAAAATCTAAAATAATAATCCCTGTATTGCCCTTATTCCTTTGGGGGGTTCTTAAGCAAATAGTATCTTGGGTCCGTCCAGACCCCCGGTTCCAGGCGCCAACACCGAGCACGTACGTGGGATCCACCTTTCTGTTCTGAAGGTAATAGATTACCAATATGACTCGCTTATGGTCCCTATATCACTAAACAAAAGTACCCCCGAAACAACCACTTCTAATTTGCCAAGCCCCTAGAGTATGTTGTTTTTTGATGCTTTGCGTTGGGCCAGGTTTCCCATCCGTATAAGCCAGATGGAACCGGCAAGGCTTGCTTGCCTTGTGTATTCTCTTCGCCGTTCCCTTTACTTGTCTCCACTGATGGAGGCTTTGTAAAGCTGATGTTGTGTTTTTTACCTTTGCCTTTGAGCCATGATGGGCCACGAACACGTTGAATGCACATTGAGTACGGTGACCAGTGCCATGGTTTTAAGTCCGTTTGCCTCAGCCGGCTGTATTATACACAGCCTGTTGCTACGGACAGGATAGGCGCACTCGCAATTCGTTGCGCGGATTGCTCAAGGGCACATCCCCAAAGAGCGCAATATCCTTTAACCAAGGAATATGCCTTAAATCATACTAGGGATCCCTATATAAAGTAAGCAATATGCCCTAATTAAGGGATATTGGGCTCTTTGGGTCTTCCACACCGATCTGGTCTACTGAGTCTACTGCCCAGCTTGGAGAGCTTCAGCCGTCAACCAGTGTCCAAGTGTTGCACAGAAGAGAAAAACAAGAGCGCCGAAGAAGATCCAGAGCTCTTGAGGCTCTGCCAACAGCCCCAAACCCTCAACCCAAACCCCTAAACCCTAATTACCCTGAACCTTAACTAAACCCGAATTACCCCAAATCCTAATGACCCCAAAAAAGACAATCCTCCTAAACACCGGTGCGCCAGGGCCGACCTCTTCGCGCGACTTCAGGAGTTGGTGGAAAGCAGCGGCGTGACCAAGCTGGAGAAGCCCTGGGATCGGCGGCTCGTCTGTTTAGGGTTCAGGTTTGGGGTTTAGGGGTTTAGGGTTTAGGTGTTTAGGGTTTAGATAGAGTTCAGGGTTTAGGGGTTTAGGCGGGGTTTAGGGTTTAGGGTTTCGATTCAATGCATCTTGGAGTCAAGCATGCTGTGCTCATGTTGCCATGTCTAAAGGCACGGAGTCCCGAGCGTTGAGGCCCTCTAGGCCATAAACCCTAGACCCTAAACTCAGGGCCTAGGCCGCCCCCCTACGTTGGGGGGCGGCGCTTAAGCCCTTCGACCTCGATGGCGCAAACCGACCCAGGTCGCTACAGCATGGGGGTCGGTAGCGCCCACGGCCCGGTACCCGAACACGTGCTCCTCGGGACCAGGCATTTTCAGGGGGGTACCCCCGGGCCCCAGCAGGGGGGACCAGGCTCAGGCCGGCTCAGGCAGGGGCCCCGTGCCTGGGCCTGTCCCAGGCCCGATTTTCCCGACCCCTTTACCTTGACTCTCCGACCCAACCCCGAACGTCATGAAACTGAATGAGGTTTTAGAAGTGTGTTGCCTTGAGTTTAGGCCTAAACCCTCAATGGAATAGGTTTGGGTTTGCCGCCTCGGACGGCGTGGGGTGGGAGAAAAATGTTAGATGGCCCTCCACAATCGGGCCAAAGCAGCTCCTCGCACCTCACGAAGCATTCGAGCGTGTTCCGAAACCGAGCCTTCACAGCATCTACGCCTTATCACAGCAAACCCTAAGCCCTAAGCCTTAAACCCTAAACCCTAAACCCTAAACCCTAAACCCTAAACCCTAAACCCTAAACCCTAAACCCTAAACCCTAAACCCTAAACCCCTGAGTGCTGAGAATCCCCCACCACCGGAAGCCCGCAGGCTCGTGGTGGAATGCTCCGGTGTGGCGGAGCCCGAAAGCATTGCTGCCGAGCTCGAGGTGCCCGGGCTTAAAAAAAGGGTTCCTTAATAGGGTTTAGGGTTTAGGTTTTAGGGTTTAGGGTTTAGGGTTTAGGGATGCTTTCCCTTCTACTGCAGTAAGAGTTCTTAACCGGGATTGTATTACCCCAGTTAGAATCCCTAGTAAGGACTATTCGTATAATGGGGAACATCCCAGGTTCCTTGCTTAAGCGTTTAGGGCCAGTTTTTTTTTTGTTTTGGGGGGGAGGGGGGCCTTCGGTGTTTTTTTTTGTTCTCCGGAAGGGGGGGTCAGGATTCAGGGCCTGCGTTCGAAGAGGCCTGGATGCAAGAAGGGGCAGCGATGGGCAGCTGTGCTGGTCTCTGGGCTACCATGACTAGCGCAGATGCAATGTCAACGTATTCTGGGGCTTGGGGCCTCATGCAAAGGACGAGCGGACGGCCTCATCCGCTAGCTTGTTCACACTTGTCTTATGCCCCACACTTACAACATAAAAGTCATGAGCTTGCTCATTAGAATTCGAGAGAAACGAGCACGCATTAACTCCACGAACGCTGGCGAACCAACGGGTATTCACTGCTGAAGTCCGCGGGCTTTCGCAACGTCGGAAGGAATTGCGTTTATAAATCACGAAGGCTAGCCTCCGAGGCGAGCAAAGTTATCCTAGAAGAATGCGGTATCATCCTGGCAGGTTTGGGGGGAGAGCTCCGCCACGAAATATCAAGTCCCCGAGGCTGTTCTACGGGGCCCGAGTGTTAGGTTTTTTGTCCGTGCGAATGACCGCCCTTTGTGATAGTGCACGCCCTGAACTCTGGGCCCTCGGTTTGGGGCTCAGGGTTCGTATGGAAGGCACCGGTAGTTCAGTCCCTCACATAGAGAAGCCAACATAGGGCACTCTAAAGCCAAGCAGGTTTAGAATTAAAGTTGCAGCTCCTGGAGACCTGCAGACATGAGAGCAGCCTCTTAGGCTTTTGGTGCGCCCGGAGCTCCCACTGCTGGCTTTCGCTCCAGCCCTTTACCCTGAAAGAGAGTTTGGAAGATGAGGGAAGTATAGCTTCGCATAGCAGACAGATCATGCATGATGGACTTGCATGAGCTGTCTTAAGAAAACGTGCTAAGCAAGCGAAACCCAGGACAAACTGCATGACAACTTCACTGGAACGGCTTGATTCTGCTCTCGCTTCGCTTTGTCGAACAATTTCTCGATGCAAAAACCTCTCATGCGCGAAGTCAACACGAACCGTCATCCCTAAAGCCCACAGTTTGCAGCAATGAAGCACATTGATGCCGGAGGCTATGGGAAGAAGAGGCGAGCCCGTCATGAAACGAATTTTCCTCGCGGCTTTTCTGCAGCAGGTTGGCCTGCGGATTCTTCTGCGACAATTGGGTGTTCTAAGCTCGAGGGCCTGGGGATTTTGATGGCATCTTGTGTGAAGAATCGAAGAAGGAGAGAAGCCCTAAACCCTAAACCCTAAACCCTAAACCCTAAACCCTCAACCCTCAACCCTCAACCCTAAACCCTAAACCCTAAAGAGACAGTCCGAGGCCGGGATCATCTGCGTTGTTGATGCGTCGGCCTTTTGGGAGATGTACAATTCAGGCTCGGCATTGGGGACGAGGGTCTAGTCGAACCGTGCCAACTTTTGGGGCTTTTTCATTAAAAGACCCCATGTAGGGTTTTTTAGAGTTAAAAACCCTTAAATCCCAACTTGGGGCACTTTGGGGCAACAGCCACCAGGAAAGCTCAGGAGTTGATGGAGCTGTGATGATAGGTCTCGTGCGCATCTGAGGTGACAGCGGCGACGCAGCTCGCAAACCCTTGTCGGCCCTGCTTGTAAGTCAGCTGGAGTCCGCAGATACAGCCGCTCAGCTCGCACTACCTCGCGTTCAGAGCCAGTGACGCTTGCAGCTCCGGGTGGCAGTTCCGACCAAAAAGTGCAAGGTCATCATCAACAAGACGGACTTGGCCGATGGCCCAGCCAGCAGCTTCCGCATGCCGGGTCACACGAAAAGCGCTCAGGTGAGCTCGGAAGAGCTGGAAAAAGTGCGGCAGCTGGTCTCTGCCTTGAGCCCCAACGCTCGGCAGTTTCCGGCAACGCGCGGAGCTCTCCCCCTGAGGCAGGGCCACGATATATACTAATATATATATATATATATATGTATATATACATATGTATATCTATATATATATATATAATATCTATATATATATATATATGTATATATGTAGCAGTTGCACCAAGAAGTGCTTTGGCCGGCCAGGACGCTCTTGCCAGCCGAGCCTGTGGAATTGGACATGCCAGCGAAGCTGTGCTGGCAAAGCATACTGAACAAGCATGACAAATGTCCTTATAAAGCCCCAACAAATCTAGAGCCCCGGGGGGGCCTCCCAGGCATACTGAACCAGCAGCTTGGTAGCTTCAACAGAGAACACATCACCACACGTATCACGTTGCCTGTACTGCTGAGGTATGTGCCTACACTGGTCAACCGGCATGGTGCCGCCGTCCGTGCGTCTGAGGCAGCAGGCCTCGGTGATGTTGAAGATTGTTGAAGAAACGCACAGCCCCCTGGCTCCAACGTTTCGCGCCAGGCTACCGGCAGTCGCCCGAAGTCCGGCGCTCAGTTGGCTTGCTGGCTAGAGGCGGCCGCACATGAACAGTCGCTACAGCCCTGATACCCTAAACCCTAAACCCTATAAACCCAAGAAACCCTTTAAGCCCTAAAGGAATAATGTTGCACAAGGACCACGAACACGGCCATGGCCATCACGATGCCCATGGCCACGCGCATGGTCACGACGCTGAAGATTGCCAGCTCTGTTCACGGCACGAGCGCTTTGGCATCTCCAGCCGCTCACTTAACCTTTGGGGTAATCAGGGGGTTCTATTACCCCAAAAAGAATCAAGGTTTCCTACGTTGAACATGGTGGCGGTTGGTGGCACTTGAGGTTCACCCGAATGAAACCTGCACCCCATCTGTCTCGGGAGAACGTGCGGTTAGAGCCCTGGACAGAGTATTCCCAAGCCTGAGATGCTTCCTAAGGCTTCGTCTACCGCTGCAAGGCGTGCCCCCTTGGCTATTGGACTAACTCGGGTGGACTAGAAAATGCAGCCACTGGGGGCACACAGAAAAAGGGGAAGACGAGACGGATGCAAGAGTTCGACCAATTGCCCACTGTGGTGTCCAGGACAAGGTGTTTCTACCAGATCGACTTGCTGAGTTCATCAGAGTCTCGGCCGGATTCACGTTGGCGTTCCATAGCGCAGACTTGAGGCGTCATGTTGCTTCAGCCCGCTTCGCGTGCCTTCGCACTTCCCGTTTTAAGCTTATCACTGCAGTGCTTATCCCAGTAAGACAAGGGGGGGGGGCAAGAAAACAAGTTTAGCATGAGGCTAATGTGAGGCTCCAGACAGATGAGGTCTCCTGATCTTCAGACGGGCTATGCTCGCACACGTGGCATGGTGGTCATGAACCAAGTTTTGACAACGTGTATATGGTCGGTACACAAGAGGATAAAACGAGTTTGGGTCGACCTTTCGTTCGACGTGCAACGAGAACATTTTTTGGCCCATGGCTCACGAGTAGATCTGCTGGCGGGCGGAGCTCATAGATCAGCAGGGGCTGAATTGCCCAAAGAGCCCAATATCCCTTAATTAGGGCATATAGCTTAATTTGTATAGGGATCCTCAATATGGCTTAGGGTATATTCCTTAATTAAGGGGTATTGGGCTCTTTGGGTGCTGGACAGCTCAGCTCAGTATGTGCAAGATGCCACCCCGCGCTAGCTGCCTTGTGATTCCCGTGCTGGGTTGGACTTCTGGACAAGAGCCTCGTTCCGTTTGAGGGGGAGGGTCGAAAACCCCAAAAAACCATAAGACAGCTTCCTGATAATGCAAACCCTAAACTTTCCCTAAACCCTAAACCCTAAACCCTAAACCCTAAACCCTAAACCCTAAACCCTAAACCCTAAACCCTAAACTCCAATGGACTCTTGAAGCTGACACCCTCGCAAAAAGCGCGTGTCTGGTTGCGAGGCAAGCTGCCAGTGGTGGCGGCAACTGTGGGCTTCCTTCCCGAGGCTAGATGGTTTAAGGTATATTCCTTAATTAAGGGGGTCTTGGGCTCTTTGGGTAGGTTCAGGGTTCAGGGTTCAGGGATGGGAGGTGCTGAGGGCAGAACAGGAAAATGAGGGACCACTCAGTTTCGGGATCCACTTGCAATCTTACCTGGCCAAGAACAACCCATGCCCAGACACCAGGAAGACGGAACGGTCGCATCATCCCAAGAGCCTCCGGTGTGCAGGAGCTGAAGCCCGTGAAGGACCCGTTGTTGGCGGGCGTTCTGCGCTCGAAAGGCTTCGCGCTGTCCTCAACGAGCGATGAAGCTTGCGTCCGTGCTACGGGTAGAGTAGAGTCGGGTAGAGGTCTATCGCAACAATTTAGGGAGTCTTTGTGCGCGGTCCCCTCGACACCAAGAAGACCAAGGTCCAGGTGCTGGGCTCCAGCCAAGTGTTTTATTGGTCGCCACTTGGCGTGTGCTTTTAGCCATTCTCTTCAGAGTTGGCGTTCTCTGCCCAAAGAGCCCAATACCCCTTAATTAAAGAAGAAAGAATATACCCTAAACCATATTGAGGATCCCTATATAAATTCAGCAACATTCCCTAATTAAGAGATGTTGGGCTCTTGGTGCGTTGGTGCAGTCCTTGCAGGCATGCTGGTCGACGAATCGAAGCTTTTCCAGCAAGCGAGGCCCCGACAAGCAAGCAGTCAGAGGTGGCCACTCAGCTGCAAAACTCGTACTTATTTAATTTGAGTATTTTTCTTGAACATTGTTGTTGTTATCATTATTAGTATTATTATGAATATTCATTTTGTTTTTCATGTTTTATTATTGTTTTGATGCATGGTTGACATGCTGGTTTTCGTTGCCGTCACCTGAACGCTGGGAGCACCCAGGTGTTTATTGGAACCGGGCTGGATCGGAGTGCCATAAGTGCAGCGCTGGATGCGTGTCTGACGAGTAGAGACGATTCGGGCAGCGCCGACACGACTGCGCCCAAACTGTGAGAAAAAAGGGGGGCACCCTGCGCTGCTGCTGCACATTGCTGCACTCATTGAGGGCCTCTTCTGTTGTTAAGAGGAAGGTTTAGGGTTTGGGGTTTCTGGTCCAGGGGGGTTTAGGGTTTATTGGACCTGGCGGGGTTTCCCCCGTCTGCGCCGATATGTGCTGCATGTGTGGCAGCATCGCCGAGGCACAACGACGCCACTATAGTTATTGTTATTCTTATTATTATTTGCTACTATGAATATTCTTCTTCTTGTGCTATTCTTATTCCTATTCTTATTCTTATTCTGATTCTTACTCTTAATGTTATTATGATTATACATATTTTTTATGGTTATCATGCATGGGCTCTGGTGTGAATGTGACGCAGCTTTGGAGGTGGAGCTCGTTCCTGGTGGCCAGGATGTCGAAGTCACAGAGGAGAACAAGGCACGCGGAGCACGTGGAGGTTCAGGGTTCAGGGTTCAGGGTTTAGGGTTCAGGGTTTAGGGTTTAGGGTATGGTTTCAACGTTGCAAAAGGGTATGGTTTCAGATGAGCAAGCAGGTCGTTCTACAGTACCAATTGCAACATCCCATCGTGCATGCGAGCCCTCCGACGCAGTGGCGGGATGTCTTTCGAGTGCAGACGGATTGGCACTTGGGGGTCATGCTGCACGTGGCCCCTGGGGCGTAGATGGAGACCTCACTTACAGTTACCCTAGGTTGGCTGCATGAAGAGGAGGGAATGCAACGCTTTGTCAGGGAAGGCGATGTCTTGTCAGTCCTCATTCTGTGGCTACAGTACCTGCAATTTGAGTTCAGCGGTTTGAGCTTGGAGGTTCACATGGAAGACTGGGTGTATCTTCAGTGTATTTCTGAGTTGTGGAGTTTCCATTTACGAGCTTTTGCTGAGTACGACAGGATTGTTACGTTTCAGTTAGTCCCCCACGAGGCTCGCTGCAAAAGGGTTTAGGGTTTAGGGTCAGGCAGGCAGTGCAGCAGTCCTAGCCGTAAAAAGGGTAATCGTATGAAGCCTGTGCCTATTCACAACTAGCAGCTGGAGGTATGGAAAGTGTCCCTCCAAGAACCTGTTAAACTTGTCAGACTCCCAGCCCAAGCGCGCACCCCTGACATTGTGTGGCTGACCAGAGCCCTTGATGGCGCAGGCAGACTGGCTGCGGCCACAGCCTTAAAGATACGGGTCGTGTGCGCTGGAAGTCGTATTCGGGCGGCCGCTCTCACATGCGCTTGTGTCTTCTACGAGTGCTTTGTCGTGCGAGTTGCAGCTGCCTTCAGGCTGCACTTGCATGACAAGCTGTACCGGTCGATGCAGAAAGCCGCCGACTCGTTCCGTGCAGGGGCTGCGGACTTAGACATGGTTTTGATTGGTTTTGCTCATCTGCGCAAGAGATCGGGAAGCCTTGCGCTTTTCGAGATCCTGGACATCTGGGGCGGCTCGCGACGAACGTGTCCGCTGTTGGCGCGATCGGCCTGTTTGCGCTGAGCCACCATGACGTAGCAGAAGGAGGCCAACAACAAATTACCAGCATGGAACTTCTGGGCGGCTCGTGCAGGTGTTACTCACGCCGGCCGAGTCCTGGCCTCAGGATGTATGCTTCCATGAGAAAAGGTGCTGGATAGGAGCACATTGCTGGGCACTCTCTTTTGGAGTGGCAGAGAGCTAGCCTTGACTATCTGCGCTGTTTTGTGTGGGCTTGGCTTCGTACCTCGTTTGCGTTATGCAAGCCGCATCAGGCTCGTGCGTATCTGGGCCGGCAGTGGCGTGACAGATGCGGACGTGCGCCGCTGGAGGGAGGCGCAGAGGGGAAGAGATGGTTAGGCCATGATTCTCCCAATTCTGCAAGAAGAGGTATTCTAAACTTTCAATGTACTTGCTGATTTCGGCTTCCGCCCATGTACCCTAAACCCGAAACCCTAAACCCTTGGTGTGGAACCTGGTTATTTCGTCAAGTTGGGCTCTGAAGTTTGTACACAGCAATCCCTCTTCAGTTGCCCCGTGGAGCTTTGCTAGACGGGTGGCAAAAAAAAACCTAAACCCTAAACCCTAAACCCTAAACCCTAAGCCCTAAACCCTAAACCCTAAACCCTAAACCCTAAACCCTAAACCCTAAACCCTAAACCCTAAACCCTAAACCCTAAACCCTAAACCCTAAACCCTAAACCCTAAACCCTAAACCCTAAACCCTAAACCCTAAACCCTAAACCCTAAACCCTAAACCCTAAACCCTAAACCCTAAACCCTAAACCCTAAACCCTAAACCCTAAACCCTAAACCCTAAACCCTAAACCCTAAACCCTAAACCCTAAACCTGAAGCTTCGGGAGTGAGACTTTTGGGGCCTCGCTGCTCGAGGTGGCCACCGTCAGCGACGAGGTGAAGACTCAAGCAGGACGCAGCAATGCACCCAAAGAGCCCAATATCCCTTAATTAGGGAATATGGCTTAATTTATATATGGATCCTCAATATGGTTTCGGGTATATTCCTTAAGTAAGGGGTATTGGGCTCTTTGGGCAGATCCAACAGTCTGCCTTTCTCTGATGCGGAGCCCCACGACAAGTACGCGCACAACTCCAGATCCTGACAAGAACTACCTCTTGAGAAGCCCCCGATGCTAGGATGGCTGTGGGAGATCCTGGAAGAAGCAGATGAGGTGAGCTGTAGCTGGGGATTCTCGCGGATGCGAGTTATGAGGGGCTGACATCTTTGACACTGTAAGGCTTTGGTTGCTTAGGGTAGCGCGGCGTCTGAGTGTCTGTCCAAGCATGTGCTCGGAACCAACTGAGGCCTGCTTTTTCTTTTGGCATGTTTCGTCATGATCGGCGCTGCTTCGTCTTCTTCTTCTTCTTCTTCTTCTTCTTCTTCTTCTTCTTCTTCTTCTTCTGCTTCTCATTGTCGGTCCAAGTGTAGCCGTCGCGTCTGTGTGAAGCCCAGCGCAGCTGTCCAAAGACGCAACTAACACCTTTCCGTGCCGGCCAAGAACACACAAGATCTCGCCGCTTCCCTGCCACGCCCCAATTCTTAGCCCCTCGCACCGCTGCGAAACTTCGGAGGCGTACCGCTCGAAGGTCCTGAAGTTCACGACAGGTGGAAGCCTCATGTCGGAGGATTTGTAGCTGCACCCCCTTGTGGCCCGAAACCCTAAACCCTAAACCCTATTTTCCTGAGGTGTCCACCGAATTGGATATGTCGGGATTCAGTCCTTCGAGGTGAGGAGCGGGGCTTTCTGAGGAATCTTATGGACCGACAGCTTCGGAAGCCTCAGCCTTTTCTTGAGGATTTAGGGTTTAGGGTTTAGGGCTTAGGGCTTAGGGTTTGGGGTTTAGGACTTAGAGGTTCTAAGTCCTGAAGACCTGGAGCGCCAAGCCCCAAGGCCCCTGTGGTCGCTCTGCACAGCAGCTCATATGCCAGAACCCGGAAGCCCCAAACCCGGAAGCCATTCCATTCCCAAGACCTGCCCCAAACCAGAAGACGCACACCCCCAAACGCTCCTTCACACACACACACACATCTATCCATCTATCTATCTATCTATCTATCTATATATATATATATGTACAAAGCCTAAACTCAGTCGTGGGCATTGTTCAAGATCGTTGGCACTGTTCAAAATCCGTGGGCATTGTTCAAGATTGTTCGTGTGCATTGCGTGCTTTGTCGTGGGCGTCGTGCGTTTGTCGTGGTGCTGTGTGCCAAAATGGTTCGTGGGTGCAAAATTTCGTGGGCACCCCCCCCCCCCCCAGCCCCCTCCCCCCTCCCCATGGCCTGCTTCCCCGGAGGGTCTAGTGAGGCGCGGCTTGACTTAAGGTGCGGTTGGCGAGTCTTCGCCGCGGAGTGATTGTGCTGCTTATTGGTGCGTTTGAAGATAGTCATAATCCTTTTTAACATTCTGAATGTTATGGGATTCTTTGGGCGGGTGGGTCTTTTTCCAAGGCTTGACAAGCTGCTTGACTAGCGAATGCTTGGACATAAGATGCTGAGCCCTAAACCCTAAACCCTAAACCCTAAACCCTAAACCCTAAACCCTAAACCCTAAACCCTAAACCCTAAACCCTAAACCCTAAACCCTAAACCCTAAACCCCAAACCCTAGTAAGGCCTACACGTTCTTTCGGGAGGTTCAGCCGGCGGATGGACAGGATGAGTCCCTCCCACGTGCCATGACGTGCCCGGAGCTCAGAGATGGTCTTTGCGGGGTTTCAGTTTAGGGTTTAGGGTTTAGAGTTTAGGGTTTAGGGTTTAGGGTTTAGGGTTTAGGGTTTAGGGTTTAGGGTTAGGGGGTGCAGGGTTTAGGGTTTATGTTTGAGGGTGCACGGTTTGGGGTTTGGGGTGAAAAGCGGGTGAGAATTGGGGTCGGGGGGGTTTCTAAGATGCGGGTTATAAAGGGGTTAAAAGCTCTGCAGGCTTAAGGGATTTAGCATGGTTCAGGACGGTTTAGGATGGTCTAGTGTTTCAGAGGCGTTGCAGGCTGGATGCAAGTCGCTATGTCGGTTTAGCTTCGGGTGTAGGGTTTAGGGTTTAGGGTTTAGGGTTTAGGGTTTAGGGGCTTCCAGCCCCAGTTTTAGTCTTGCACCCTTCAAGACTTCGTGTAGGATAGCAGGTCAGGCATCTGAACAGTCGGGTGGTTGGTGAAGTTTTGAGAGCCTTCTGATTGATGGGCCTGGTTTCAGGGGTGCCATCATTGAGACATACCTGGCTCGAGCATTAGAAGCCCTTGCTACATGACTTGAACACTGCCAGTGACGCTGGCATGACTACCGCTCATAGATTGGATGGTCCGATATAAACCTGGCAGATGGCATCTGGCGCAGCAGACCCGCACATGCCTACTGAGGCAGGATGCCCTGCAACTCCTGCTGGGGATGTGGGCGCGCCAGATGACGAGATGGCAAGCATCACGGTCGACTGCCTCTCACGGAAGCTGCGTGCCTCCGTGAAGGTCCGGCAGTTTGTCTGCGGCCCAACTTTCTCGGAGCACCGTGTCCAGGTCGAATGTGCCAAGGATCTTCTGCCACTCATCGAGGAGACACGGATCCGTTACTTGAGAAGTGCGGGGCTCACAGAAGCTGGGGCTGATAAGATGGAAGCTGCAGAAGCTGGGGCTGATGTTGCTGGCCTTGCTGGGGGTGAGTCCGCGGAGCGAGCACATGTGGCGCGCTGGCTGAGCCAGAAGCTGCAGCCCCAGTTTCCCTTTCCGATCGAGGTCACGACCGAGAGCGCTTCACATCATGGGAAAATCTTGGCGCGTTATGCAGGGACAGACGAGCCTGCACGAGACTGGCAGCGCAACTACACCACATTTCACATCGATCACAAGCAAAACACGGCCAGCCTAGAAGAGGGCGTGCAGGTCAACGTCTGGCTGAATCTCAGTGACGAGCCCGTCTCGGACTTTGCACTGGGATTCTTGGAGCTTGGTGGCTGCATGATTGAGGGCAAGGACCTCCCCTCCCTGACGCAGCAGGAGGTGGATCAAGTGATGGTGCGGTACAGAGCCAAACTCACAAAAGACCAGGCATTGATTTTTCAATCTACGGGTGCCAAGTCTGTGGTGCATGGGAGTTTCCGTTTCCAAGATGCGGAGAAGCTGACACAGGCTCCACGGTATTCGCTGGAGTTCCGGCTACTGCTGCGAAGGCTGGGGTCTTGTGAGGACAATCTCGGATCCACCACATAGATGGTCGCAGACATGGAGATCGCGAAGCGTCCGCAGCTTGGACAAGGCTTCAAGGCGCAGAGGGCCGGCCCGCTTTGCACCGAGCGCAAGATCCCTTCCTGGGGCCCTGAGCCCCAACCTTTCAGACCTCAGCTAGTTCCGGAAGGGACGACGTCGTGCGCTTTCGCATTGGCTTAATCTTGAAAGATTCCCGAGCCAGGCATGAGTGGATGAAACATGCGGGGGTCGCGTCGATTTGGAACCCCAAGGCTCTGAACCCAAACCCTGCAGCCAAAACCCTAAACCCTACACCCTGAACCCTAAACCCTAAACACCTCTCGTGTCGCTTTAAGTCCTTTGCGCTCAGGTGCCAACATGTTGCAGATGCCCCGCTACTCCTCCAAGGACTGTCTGTGCAAGCAGCTCCGCAAGGCGCAGCCAGAGGGTCAAAAGGATATATGATGTTTAAATATTTCTTCATTCTTCTTCTTATGATACATATATTTTAAGATATTTTAAGGCTGTATGTTACTCGTTATTCTTGTCATTATGATTATATTCAACATATGTATATGTACGTATATTTATACGCATGTATGGTGACTTGTCACGCAATGGCGGGCGTCATGGCACTGGGACCAGAGAGCGGAGCCTCGCCTCCCCCCTTTTGCAGGCCACCGAGCTGTGTGACGGCTTCCAGATTCTCTAGACCCAACCGGCTTCATTGTCGCTCTTCTGTGCATACTTTCTCAGCTTTCAGCGGGCATGTGGGCACTTCAGCATTTGGTTGTGATTAATTAGGTATGATGAGTTTGCAACACGTGGTGCAAGTTCAATCTTCGCAAGCTTGCGCACGCACCCCCGCATGTGGGCATGTCGGCAGAAGTCTGAGGCTTGTGGTCAGGGTGTCGGAACGGACCTGGCTCTATTTTAATCAGGTCTTATGGGCCTCCATGGGCTGTGCCAACCTGCGGTCAACATGTTGGTAAACTTGCTTGTTGCCTGAGCTTTTATGCTGCGCATCCCAATCTCCCAAGCAGTTTGCAACAGCTGAACTTGGAGGCCAGGCAAAACAGCCGTTGTTGAGCTAGGCAGCTAGTTGGTCTGAGGGGTATGCAGTGGCTGCAATCTATCTGAGATGGATCTGTGGTTCTGTGCAGGCTCCCACGGACCCTCGCTTTAGCTAGGAGCTCCGAAAAAAGTTCGCCGCTCTCCATACACCAGAGATGTGTATAGCCACATTGTCTACACTCAACGTCCATCGATGCTGAGCTGTAAGCATCTTCTCCTTCGTTGCAATGCCTTGGCTTGGGAGCACTCATAGGGCTCAAGCAGTGCGTCACGAAACATCCGCTTCAGGACCGTGTAGTGGTTTGCCTAGCAAGTTGGCGAGTATCTTATTCCGGAGTTTGCTCAAGTGTTTCCAGGACGTGCGACGATGCTGTCCTCTTTTACGCGCCGGCTCTCCGTGCAGGCAATGGTCGGGTGGGTTGTGGCGAGCTTGGGGTCGGAAAATGAAAGCCTCACTCGACGTCTTATTTGTGAGACACATTGGCCCAACAGCTCTCATGTCAAGCTGCTTCGCTAGGCGACAACCTAAGCACTGCGCATACTACTCAAAGCTTTACACAGTGTAACTCCGAAGAACTGCGACGCCTGAGAAACCAGCAGCCGTGCACGATGATCTAAGCCGCTAGGACAGAACCGAACACAGCAAAGCCTCTGTGCCGGGGATGGTGCCGCCGGATGCCTGTGCCACCATACCACCGTCCGCGGTCAGCTTCGAGTTCTGGTTTAAGACAAGCTACCAACCCTCCCAGTGCCTTGGCGCCCATTGAGTATATTCGTTTCGTTCCCCGTCCGCTCACGTAGAAGAGCAGGTGCCGACAGAAGCAATGCCGGCGGCGGTGCCAAGGGGGGATCGAGCAATCGAGCCCAGTTGCCGCCCGATGCGCCCAGCGGCGGGGCCAAGGGGCGACCCAGAAACCGAGCCGATTTACCACCAGATCTGCCCGCCAGCGGGGCCAAGGGGCGATCCAGCAACCGAGCCGATTTACCGCCGGATCTGCCCGGCGGTGGGCGATCAGGCAACCGAGCCGATCTGCCGCCGGATCTGCCCAGCAGTGGGGCCAAGGGGCGATCGAGCAGCAGAGCCGATTTACCGCCGGACCCGCTCAGCGGCGGGGCTAAGGGGCGATCGAGCAGCAGAGCTGATGTACGCCCCCGTGCGCCCAAAGGCGGCGCCAAGGGGCAATCATGCAGCACAGCTGATTTACGGCTGGATGTGCCCAGCGATGGAGGTGCCAAAGGGCAATCAAGCAGAGCTGATGTGCGGCCTGATGTGCCTGCAGCCCTGCCCTCTGGTCGCCCGAGTCACAGTGATGCTGCAGAGATTGACGGCGAAATTGCACGCTTGCATGCAGAGAATGATCGCCTTCGGCAGCTGTTGGAACAGGATGGTGGGGCTCCCTGGACCTTTGCACTTCTTGCAGAGCTTGAGAGGGAAAGTCACGAGCAGCGGCGCATCCGCTGCTTGCAACGCGAGCTGTGCATGGCACTTCAACGTCGATGCCGATTGGAGCAAACTGTCCGAGCCGGGCACGCCAGTTTGGAGCGTGCCCTCTATGGGGCATTGAGTCAAAACAACGCATCCCTTCAGTCCTTGGAGCAAGCTTTTGCCGATGGCGCAGCCGCAGCGGAAGCCGAGCTTGCAGAAGAGGCGATTCTGGTCGACTCAGATGCGGCTCCCAAGCAACCTGGGCGACGTTCAAGCCCAAGCCCAAGCCCAGCAGGCACGCCGAGCACAGGATCCGGCACAGCTGCAGCTGCGAAGGCCACGTCCTCGCGCAGGCGCTGGGAAGCAGCGCAGATCTACGAGCTTGAGCAAGACGTGTTCAAGGCGGCATCGTCTTTGTCAGGACTTGCAGATGCTTCAGGGGAGGTCTGGCCAGGCCAGCTGGCTAGTCGCTTTGAAGCCGCGAGCTGGCAGCTTTTGCGAGCTCGTGAGCTTTCCACCACTGATGCAGACGCTGATGCCTCAGCCGCTGCCGTCCGCCGACGGCTTTGGAGGGCCATGGCAGGACGCGCAGCAACTGTCCCAAGAGATCTGCAATCAGAAAGTTCTGCTTCGAGCGCAGCCGAGCCTTTGCTGGACTACACATACATTGATCCCTCGGCTCGCGTTTTGAAGCCTCATTTGCTGCGCACGTGTGCCTGAGTGCCTTCATGAGCCGAGGCCCCGGTGCAGCTACCATTGTGTCTGCTTCGTGCTCTCCAAGACGTGCTGGAGGACGGTCACGTGTCATGACGTACACATTTGACCATACAGCGCAAGGGCCTGCCAAAACCTTGCATCGGTTGCTTGTTCCCTGCTCTCTTTCTCGTTCGCTTTCTCTTTCTTATCATCTTTCTCTTTCCCCTCTCCCTCTCCCTCTCCCGCTCTCGCGCTCTCCCTCTTGCGCTCTCCCTCTCGCTCTCTCTCTCTCTCTCTCTCTCTCTCTCTCTCTCTCTCTCTCTCGCGCTCTCGCTCTCGCACTCTCCCTCTCGCGCTCTGCCTCTCGCGCTCTCGCTCTCAAGCTCTCGCTCTCTCCCTCTCGCTCTCTCGCTCGCTCGCTGGTTGGAGAGTGGAGGGAACAAATGCCTGCCTGAAATTTCAGCAGAACATGGAATTGGCTCCCCTCGCACAAACTTTTGACAACAAACAAGGTGGACTGTCACGACTGCGTGCCTGTGGATGTTTCTAGGTCCCGGGAATGTGCTGCGGCGATTAGACGAAGTCAGCCCTACACCCTATAAGAATTCAGCCGGAGAGCGGCTTGGGGGTGGGGGGAAGGCGCACAAGGCGACGAAGTTTCGACTAACAGTGACCCCCAAGGGGCAAACAATGCCAAATGCGGTCAGCGCTTACGTTAGACTTCATGCCTGGTACATGGCCTGTAGAACTTGCTGCCGGGCCCTCAACGACGTAATAAATTAGGGACCTTAACTTTATCACATCGTATGCCCACCCCTTGATGTTGGCACAGCAGGTGACAAGTGGAGAGAAGGAGCTGCGGGCGGAGGTGGAGCAGGCTGTTGCAAGCATGCTGGAGCTGGCCGTGCCTTGGCTTGTCCAGCACTTTTTGTTGTGCACCGGAGCTGTGCGGCTAAGCAGGTCCCAGTTTCATGCTTTCAGCATATTACCGCACTCGTTTCTCGTCTTGTGCCTCTGTCCCATGCGAAGGCACAGTGGGCAGCGGCGGTTCTTTCCACACGTGCTGGTGGTGGCGGCGGTGCTGGGACATGTGCAGTCTGAGTTGGCGCATCATCCGAAAGCATGTGGCGGGTTCTCTGCAGACAGGTACAGCATGCAGGAGCCCACCGCTCATAGCCAACAACCGAATGCTCTGCAAGAGATCGCAGATGCGCGCCGCTAAAGTTGCTGGCGTCCCAACACCTGCTTCTGAGTGACCGGTCGGTGCAGCGCGAGCGGCTTTCAGAAAAGGATCAGTTCTACTCACGTTTTGGTTAGTCCGCAGCTTTCTCGTCGGCATTGCAGCCCTTCTAACAGATGCAATTGGCGGTGCCGCAAGCTTTGCACCAGTTTCACCTCAGTCAGATCGCAGAGGGGGGGGGGTTCCCAAAATGAGGGCCTGCGGACCCTCATCTTCTCCGTCAGGTGGCTCGCCCCGCTGCTCTCGCTCCCGCCGGACTCCGCTTCCACTGCCAGGCACACAAGAGTCCTTGAGATCAGGACTCTTTCGGGGGTAAGAAGGAGAACCTGTAAGGGACATTAGCCTTCTTCAGCCTAAGCCCGCAAGTTGAATCTTCACCCGGAGCACCCCGGAGCCATCTCTTCCTCGAATGAAAGCAAGCCAAGCTCCACCCCCACCACAATCAGGGCTTCTGTCATGTAGGTGCCCTGCGGAATCTTCACAGATGAGCTCCGCGTGCAGGCAATGATGGAGGTGGGCACTGTGGAGCTTGTGGTTTCTGGTTGAGCATCAGCTCCCTGGGGGGAAGAAAACCAGAAAGTAGCCCTAAACCCTAAACCCTATAAACCCTATAAACCCTATAAACCCTATAAACCCTATAAACCCTATAAACCCTATAAACCCTATAAACCCTATAAACCCTATAAACCCTATAAACCCTATAAACCCTATAAACCCTATAAACCCTATAAAACCTATAAACCCTATAAACCCTATAAACCCTATAAACCCTATAAACCCTATAAACCCTATAAACCCTATAAACCCTATAAACCCTATAAACCCTATAAACCCTATAAACCCTATAAACCTATAAACCCTATAAACCCTATAAACCCTATAAACCCTATAAACCCTATAAACCCTATAAACCCTATAAACCCTATAAACCCTATAAACCCTAAACCCGGCATGGCGCAGCTTTAAACAGCCGTCCAGCCAGTGCCTCGCAAGGATGCGTCCACGGTCCGCAAGGCTGTGGTGCAATCTCAGGAACTCCACAAGGCCCCCTCCCCCCCCCCAATTTCCCTTCCCTCATTCGTTTTGTAATTTCCCTTCCATCATTCTTTTTGTAATTTCCCTTCCCTCATTCCTTTGCGCAGAAGCTGAGGAGGGCTTGGGGACTTGGGGGTTCGAGTTTGCTCATGCCTGTTGCAAGAGATTCCCAACTTTTTAATCTTCCAAGGTTGCACGTGAAAACGACCCCTCAGCCCGAAGCCCCAGCTTAGAGCTTGCCACGGAGAGCCAGCACCCCTTTCGCCGACAGACTCAGACATGGGTTGCACAGGAGATTGAGGCTTCGCCTAGCAAAGCAGGTTAGCCATGTGGGCATATCTCGCCACACAGTCGACATGCAACAAAGGTTAGCAGGGACAGTTGCCATTCGTTCTCAAAGCATGTTGGGGCGGGTTTCGGGAGGCAAAAATGGGGCAGAGTTTCAGGTCGAGGGCTGATTGGTTCAGGGTGGAAAGCTTCGTGGTGACGGCAGGCAGGGGCGCTGCAGGACATCCACCAGTGCGGTCCTTACTTTGGGGACTTGCAAAGGAGGCTTGGCAAAGAGCCCAGTCAACACCCCTGCTACGGAGGATGGTGCGCTGGATTGCCACGAAGGAGGACCACTGCCAGAAGATCATGACCACGACTGTATCTGGGCTGCAACACTCCCCAGCCTCTACTTCCGTTACCTGCTTGGGGCAGCCGATCGGCTAGCGCAGGCCGACTACTTCCTTGCGCAGAAGGCCGGGGTCTTCAGATTCGGGGTGCTTTTTTCAGCTGTTTTTTTCGGCTTTGGACAGGTGAAGAAAGCAGACCTGAGTGAAGATGACTACCTTAAGCGGCTTGCTCTTCACCATGATGTCATGGCGGGGGGCCCTGAAGTGCTTCCAAGGCGACTCCTGCAAGGCATCTTGCTCCCCACTGTTGCAGCAGATGCATCAGTTCAGTGCTCCAACCGCTTCGGAAGCCAATTGTTGCACAAATTAAAAGGAGCCCCAAAAGCGCGTGGCAGACTGCAGCGAGCTGTGGCTGGCTCTTAACTGCCCAACCTCAGAATCAAGAGGCCTCTGTCTGCAACCATAGCCAAAAGCCGGGGTGTTTTCAAAGTCAACCCGAGAAACCCTGTGACCTGGACGCTTCCCGGGGCTTGAAGGGCTGGCTTTTCTGGGATTGCTTCTTTGTGTTTTCCGGCCCTTCTCACTGGTTTGGGACATGGTTTGTTCCCTGAACTCCAAAACTTTCAAACCCTGAGCCCTAAATCCTAAACCCTAAACCCTAAACCCTAAACCCTAAACCCTAAACCCTAAACCCTAAACCCTAAACCCTAAACCCTAAACCCTAAACCCTAAACCCTAAACCCTAAACCCTAACCTCTAAACCCTAAACCCTAAACCCTAAACCCTAAACCCTAAACCCTAAACCCTAAACCCTAAACCCTAAACCCTAAACCCTAAACCCTAAACCCTAAACCCTAAACCCTAAACCCTAAACCCTAAACCCTAAACTCTATGCCTTGCCGGCCTTGTGCGAGTGTGAGAGTCGAAACCCTAAACTTTCAAACCCTGAACCATTCGAAGAGTTTGCTTTAAGGTGGCGGCCATGAAGGCCAAGCAATCTTCGGAGCTTGGACCTGTGGACACGTTGGATAAGGCCATTGAGGCCTGGGGGCGGTGGTTACGGGTTCACATGGCAGCAGAGCGCCACTTTCAGGGGCCAGGTGCCAACCTTAAAGTCTCTGTCTTGCTGAGTTGCGTAGTCTGAACTCTTCCTCTTGGCTGGACAGTTTTGGCTCTTTGGTAGACGCCAGCTGCCGGTTTTCTGTTGGAGGCCTTGGCTCCGATCTACAAGAAGTGAGATCGCCCGGGTTCTGTGAGCACAGCCACAGTGCGCTGACACGTACCTGCTTGTTTCCGAACCGATGTAAGTGCCGCCAGACCTTGATTCGAAAGCTTTGTTTTGCCACGGCTTGCCCAGCAGAAAGGCACGTGCGTGAGTCGAGGAATGTTTGGTGCGCTCTGTAGCCTGGGACGCGTCCATGCACTACGCCTTCTGAAGTCTGAAGCCCATCGCCGCTGCCGCAGTGTGTTGTAGACTGCAGACTAATTACTGTAGTACACTGTAGGTCGGCCTTCAGAACCAGACCGAAAGCATATTCCTTCTAGCTAGGGCCGTTAGGAGTTAGAGCCGCTGACTCGATCGCTCCAGTTCTTTAGTTTATTCCGCAAGTTCTTAGCGCCGTCGCAGACGAAATGGATGACATGGATGGCTGCAGGAGGTCAGAGGGCTGAGGCCGCAGCTTCACGGAGATCTTTTGGGGTTCAAGTGGTTCTGGTCCGTAAAGGTTCTTTGGGGTTTGCACAGTTGCCCAGTGAATGGTTCTTAGGGTCTTAGTGTTTTCAAGAAGGATGCGGTATGATGTGGTCGTGGGCGGCAGGGGATATGGGAAATTGTTGGGTGACTTGGCTGGATTTCTAGCTTTGAACAGGTGATTCAGGGACTGAGGCTTGAGCAATTATTCCTTCACCATGTTGTTGCCATGGCTCTTTTGTTTTGTTTTCTTCCCTGAAGTACGATGCAGCTTTGGTGGCAACTCCCTCCGTTTGCAGGCACTGCCGAAAGGTCGCCATCGTGGCGTGGGCACGGGGCTTGGTTACATGGAAGGGCAGCAGCAGGGTGGCAAGAAAAGCTTGGACATCTCGCTCCACACCTTGCTTGCAGGAGATGAGGCATCTTGAAGCGCCAGCGCCGCAGCAGACGGGCAGGAGGCGGTGCGGAGCGGCCGACCGAAAGTTGCCCCGGCCCATAGACCAGGCAGTTTGAGGGCTTTGCCCGAAGCTCTGGAGGACATCTTGTATCGGTCGCAGGCTCCCTCGAACACGGAACAGGCAGTTGCCTCCGGCCCGCAGGCAAATGCTCGGCTCTTGAGGGCCGCTTCCGCGGAGTGCCAGGAAAAACTCAGCCGACCTCACGCCCAGTGCCTTGCCAGCCTTGCGTGAGCCTTGAGCAAGCTGGCTGCCGAGGATGGGCCACTCATGCAAGGCACTGCAGCTGAAGCACTTGCAAAACTGCATGAGCAGACGTCTCAGGGCCTCTCCAACCTGGCTTGAGCCTGGGCTACCCTCGGAACTCAAAGCCACGCCATGTTGAGGGCAATTGCGGAGCATGCTCTGCCGAAGCTTCCGCACATGGAGGCGCAGAGCTCGGCCAACTTGGTGCAGGCGCTTTGCACGGTTCACTCCTTTGACGCCATCCTCTTCAGGACCACCGCCGAAACAGTGCAGACAAGCCCATAAGGCTTGGCCCAGCCTTCGCCACAGAACTTGGCCAACAGTGGCCGAGCCTTCAGCAACACAGGCTGCGTCGACATCCCGCCGATGGACTCGGCAGCCCTTGTGGCGCTGTCCAGGATCCAGGGCTTCCCCGCGCGCGGCTTGGCAAACCTCTCCTGGGCACTTGCCAGCAGTATGGCCCTGAGCCTCGCTTTGACGGAGGGTGCAGCGTTCACGTCGGAGTGCATCGTGCACACACCCACCCCGCAAAACATCTCCAACACTGTGCAGGGGTTCGGGACATTGGCAGCTGCTGACCAGCCATTATTGAAGGCACCAGGCTTGCAGGCCGTTTCGCGCAGCTCCGAGCTTCAGTCGCAGGACTCGTCCAACAGCGCGTGAGCCACGACCAATCCCATGTATCGACATGCACCGCTATTGGGGGTTGCTGCGGCTGCGGCCACTGGCTGCATGTCCCTTTCCAAACCTCAAGACGCCGGCAACACTGCCTGAGCTTTTGCAAAGCTTGTGCTCTTGCATGAGCCTTCCTTTGCCGCATCGAGTGCCCAGGGCGCCGTGCATTTCCCGAGCTTTCCTCCGCAGAATTTGGCCAACACCGCTCGGAGCTTCACCATGCCACTGATCCCAGGGATGCGCGCAATGCATGCGATCGCAGCTGCAGCCATGCCGAAGCTGGCGGATTTCAACTCGCAGCACCTGGCACACATGTTCCAGGCATCTGGCTCTGTGAGTGTCATCACACGGCTCTTGCTTGAGGCCCCAGCACAGCACACTATCAGGAGCGTGTCCTGTCCCAACTGCCAAGAGCCAGCAAACACTGCGCGGGGGTGTGCAAAACTCGCCTTCGTGCATGAGCTGGCATTACACGCGCTCAGGCAAGCCGGCGGTGCGAAGCTGGCCCAGCCTGTACCACAGGATTCCGCCAACATGTCCCGGAACTTGTGCAAGACCAGCCACATTGATTTGCCCGCCATGGGTGGCACCGTGTCTTTGTCACTGCAGCGGATCCGCGAGCCCAACTCCCAAGATCTGGCGAATGCAGCCTGGAGGGTGGCGAATGTGCATTTGAGAAGCCTCCCGCTGATGGACTCCACTGCCGTGCGCGTGGGTGCACAGTGCCTGCGGCTCGCTTCCCCATTGCTGCGGCCTATCTCTTGTTTCGCCAAAGATTGATTGTCTTCTGCGCTGTTTTCTTTTTGCTTTGTCGTCGTTGTGTTTCCGATTGTGGCCTGTCGTTGTGCCCATGGGGTCACAAATATCCTCCACAGCCGCTTCAGATCGCAGGAAGGATGCTCATGTTGTGCTGCTACTGCTATGTTTACCTTAGTGTGGCATGGCTACGCGGTGACATGAGGTTGAAGGCGGGCACGATGATAGCTCAGCAGCCAGCCAGGATCGGCCAGTTCGAAGGCTCCGACTTTTCAAGCACGGCTTGGTCTTTCTCGACGATGGAGTTGATGTGCGAGGTGCGACTTCGGGGGGGGGGGGGGGGGGCAACGTACACAGGCTACTGTGCTGGCAGAGTGTAGCTGAGCTTTGGATGCACTTCGCAACCTGCTCCCTAGCCCGACATGAAGGAACATGCCTACAAATTGGGATGTTTTCCCCCTATACTGACAGTCCTTAATGGGGATTGTAATAGGGGTACTATGATCCTTATTAGGGATTGCTAGAAGAAGGGGAAACATCCCAACCTACAAACTTCCTGACCATGGCCCCCCGCTTGGCCCAGGCGCTGTTCGAAGCAATCGCTACAGAGGCCTGTCTTCGGTAAGGCTCAAGGCAAAGTTGAACGGAATCCTCTATCATCAACTTCTAAATCTTCAGCACGCTTCGTGGGGGATGTTGTCAAGTCATGGCAATCGTGACTCACAGGTCACACATCGTGAACTCATTTTGCATGACGTCCCTAAGAGCACGGGGGCCCTCCGATGAGTTCCAGGTCTCCCAACTTGAGTGCCCCTGAACTGTACCTGAGGTGTTACTCAGAGAGTTACTCAGGTGCAACAACCCTTCGTGACCAGACACCTCGAGCCTGCCAGGTGGCAGAGAAGCTGGACTCACTAGGGCCGCAGCAGCCGCCTTCCAGCAATTTGTAGGGTGTGCGTGCGCGTGTGCGTGTGCGTGTGCGTGTGCGTGCGCGTGCGCGTGCGCGTGTGCGTGTGCGTGTGCGTGTGCGTGTGCGTGTGCGTGTGCGTGTGCGTGTGCGTGTGCGTGTGCGTGCTTCTGCTTGGCTTGACGTGGACGGTTTGGCCATGCTTGGCTACGCTTGGCTGTGCTTGGCTTTGCTTGGCTATGCTTGCCTGAGCGTGGGCGGAACTATGCCTGCAGGTTGGGCACGCTCGCGGACTTGAACCTGCCCTGCAGATGCCCAAGCAACTATGGGGCTCAGAGGCTACAGTTCGCGGCAGGGTTCGGATGTTAATGCACGTTGGAGCTCAGATGATAGAAGTCCAAAGGAGAGCGTTTCACCAGCCCTCAGTGTGAGTGCACATCACCCATGCCACAGGTCAGAGAGCTGTGGAGGACCGGCTTCGGGCATCGCTCTCAGAAGAAGACGGGGGATGCTTTGTCCAACTGCCTAACGACATTTGGGAGTTTACGCAATAGGGGACCCCAATCTAGATGCCCTAATTCGTAGGATCTCCTTTATAAGGGCCCCAATAACGTACCCCCTAATTTCGGAAACCCCCATCGTGTCGGGATGCTACCTCCCAGTACTTCGGGCTGGGCTGGAGGGGGGCGAGGGGGGGTGGGGGGCATCTCCGACTCCGATGCGGAGGCCATCATCCAGCAGTTTGCCCATGGCATCCCCAACTCAATCGACGGCTTCCGCGCTGGTTTGTACCAGGAGATGGTGGAGGACTGGTAGGGGTACCTTCTGGGGTCCTTAGTACGTAAACTCCCATATCAGTTTGAGTCAGTGTTTGGTATTCCATCCTGAGCATGCGGTGGCAGAACACGTGGGGAGGACTGGGCGGTGGACAACTTTGGCAGTTGGGGCGATCGGCTGCTCCTGGATTTCTTAGGAATCCAAGAGTGCACGCAGGAGGCTTATGACATAATGAGTTCTTTAGCCAAGTGCCTCACGTTGACGCTGGGCCGCCCCGCTGTTGAGGCCAGACTTCCGGGACAAGGCGGCAAGATCATGTGCGGATGCATTCTCATGACGCATGGTCGCAGAACGGAATGTGGACTTGTGAGTGCCTGAATTCGTCAACAAGGCTGCCAAGCTTGCGACAGAGCATCAAGAGCAACAGCAGAGCTGGTGGCGCAGTGTTGCTTGTCAGCTTGAGTTGTGAAGCTCAAGTGCGATGCATCAGTCATGTTAATATACTTGCCATGGGCGCGCCCTTCCAGCCAAGGAAAGCCTGTTGCGTCCGCAGGTCCAAAGCTCAAAGGGTCAGAGCAGCGGCAGCCCGTGCACGCAGTTGCCGGAGCCATGTTAGCAGTGCGCTCACATGCATGCGACCAAATCAAGATCCTCGCGCCAGCCATCACTGAACTGCTGCATGCCCACAACATGAGCAGGCATTTGTCAAGGCACACAGCAGCATGTGCTGAAGCATGCAGAGCCTCGTACGTCGCACTCCCGAACACGCATCTCAACTCAGCGACCAGACGCCTCGGAAAGTCATGGAATCACTGCGGTCCTGGTACATGGAGGACATTCTTTGCAGAGTCGGATGCTCCCTTAGGTTCCTCCCATTCCCACGTGTCTGAAGCAGCAGCAAGGATGGCTGTGCATCGGCTCCCCTCGTGCACAAAGACAACGTAGACGTCGAAGTGCTGAAGCTAATCCAGGAGGCGCAGGGCTGCTCTCAGCATTACATCCACATAAGTCCCTAAAGAAATTGCAGCCAAGGCTGCTGCCCACAGCATGCACCCAGCAGAAGCGCCCGTGCCTTCGAACGCGCTGCGGGCACAGCACATGCATGGTAAATCGGCGGAACGGAAGCAACACCTCTGTTCCGACAGAGCTTCTCGGTGCACGTGCAACCCCAGGGTAGGCCAAACAAAGTCCCCCCCCCCCTCCCCCACTGAAAGTCATTGATGACTGAGTCCGTGATTTTTGCTGGGCTCGCGGAGCTGGATGATGCAAACCCGCAGACGATACTCCAATAGTTCCTTGCTACATGGTCGATGAGCATCACATCGCAGCCAAGAAAGGCTGAGCCATCCAAAGGTTCCCATATATCCGATTTTTTCCCATACGGAGCCCATGTGTGAGTGACCTAACCTTTCCGCCGAAACGGAGATCTGCATTATGGTCCTTGAGAGCAAGCTTTCCTTGATGGAAGAGCAGCATCGAAAGCCGTCAGCACATGCGCCAGGAGCTAGCACAAATGCATCGGCGTGATGAAGATGCGGAGCGACTTTCCATGGGACCAGCCATGGAAGCCATCCGCACGTGCTACATGGAGGACACGCATTGGATCATGTGCGGCAGACCCTTGCCATCAGCATGCTTGATGAGGATTGATGAGGGAGTCTTTGCAAGTTGCAACTATGTGGCGCAGCTCCGGTCCAGGACACTACCCCGTCGGTGCCTTTCGTGGCTGGGCATGTGGTGGAAGCTTCGCAGGCGATGCAAGAGGTGCATCACTTAGAACTGTGCACTTGCCCCTTGCTTGAGAATGCGTCCTTGATTCCGGTGCCATTGCTTCCCTGATCTTCGGCTTGGCAGCGGCCAGGCGCTTTCACGTGCAGCCAAGCATCGACGTGTCGACATCACTGACCTCAAGGTACAGGAGATGCAGGCAGACCGACCATTGTTGAGATGAATCAGGTTTGGGCGCAAGTTGAATATTTCACGATGCGCTCGAAGAAAGCATCTGTTGCACTGTGCCAAGCAGACATGCCATGCAGCAGTCTTCTCCTGCATTAATTGAGTTGTTCAGCCGACGGACAATGCGGGACAGGATTGTGAGGACACGCCCTACAGGCCCTGCTGACATGCCATGAAATTGGGCATGTGTGTCACATGTCAAATGCTTCTGTTGAGGGACAGGAAGCGGACGACGCTGCTCTGCCACCGTAGGGAAGCACATGGAAACTGAGCCGCAGGCACTGCTCCAGGGGTGAGCGAAAGCGCAGCATGGAGCAGCAGGCACCCTCGTTGCGTGGGGCGGGGAAGGCTTTGGATTTGTGGGATGTAGCATCCTCAGCGCCAGCATGGGGTTGCGAGCAGAACCTGTGCTGTAGGGCCCCAGCGAGCTGTGGGATGCATTGATCAATGGACAGGCTTTCTCCTGCCAAGCTCCACATGTCGAAAGCTATGGGCTTCTTGCTGTGTCTTGGCGCAGAAGGAACCTGCTGGGCAGGGGGCCAGCTTCATCCAAGAACAATGAATGGCATTGAAGCTCATGACACAAGGGATGCCATCCTTGTGGCATTTACGGTTGCGGCTGCTGAGGCATCCCCCGACCATGCCATGGACAGTCCTCAGCTCAGATGTTCAGGCCCTAAACCCTAAAGCCTAAAACCCTGAACCCTAAAGCCAGGGCCGATTCTGCCAGCCTCCGTCTTCGCCATGCCTCTCAGGCGACCGGAAGAGGTTTGAGAATGGCTTGCTGCTACCGAGCTCGGGAAGGCTGGTGCTTCCACCAATGGCAAAGTTGTATGCCAAAGGAGTTGCGTGGCCATTCCCCGCAGGTGACTTGGTGACTTGAGGGCCGAGTGCTGCAAAGTGGGGGGGCGCGGCGTGCAAAAGAGGCTTGTGCACAGGCGATGGCGGCATGAGGTGGCGTCGGATCATTTTTTCAGAATATGGGAATATATATGCAGCAAAATGATATATATATATATGGATATATATGGTCACCCCCCCCCCCCCTCGACAGACCCCGGAAGTATATTTCCGATATGTTCAGGAAGGGGGCGGGGGGAAGAGCACCACTCCAAAATTCGTCGAGTTTCCAAAAATCCAAAAATCCAAAAAAACCCAACCCAAGTTTCGGATTTTTGGAAACTCGAGGAATTTGCTCAAAATCCAAAAAAACCCAAAATTCCTCGAGTTTCCAAAATCCAAAAATCCAAAAATCCCAACCCAAGTTTCGGATTTTTGGAAACTCCAGGAATTTGTTCAAAATCCTAAAAAAAACCCAAAATTCCTCGAGTTTCCAAAATTCCAAAAATCCAAAAATCGCAACCCCAGTTTCGGATTTTTGGAAACCCGAGGAATTTGCTCAAAATCCAAATAAACCCAAAATTCCTCGAGTTTCCAAAATTCCAAAAATCCAAAAATCCCAACCCCAGTTTCGGATTTTTGGAAACTCGAGGAATTTGCTCAAAATCCAAAAAAACCCAAAAATTCCTCGAGTTTCCAAAATTCCAAAAATCCAAAAATCCCAACCCCAGTTTCGGATTTTTGGAAACCCGAGGAATTTGCTCAAAATCCAAAAAAACCCAAAACTCCTCGAGTTTCCAAAATTCCAAAAATCCAAAAATCGCAACCCCAGTTTCGGATTTTTGGAAACTCGAGGAATTTGCTCAAAATCCAAAAAAACCCACAATTCCTCGAGTTTCCAAAATTCCAAAAACCCAAAAATCCCAACCCCAGTTTCGGATTTTTGGAAACTCGAGGAATTTGCTCAAAACCCAAAAAAATCCAAAATTCCCCGAGTTTCCAAAAATCCGAAACTGGGGTTGGGATTTTTGGATTTTTGGATTTTGGAAACTCGAGGAATTTTGGGTTTTTTTGGATTTTGAGCAAATTCCTCGAGTTTCCAAAAATCCGAAACTGGGGTTGGGATTTTTGGATTTTTGGAATTTTGGAAACTCGAGGAATTTTGGGTTTTTTTTGATTTCGAGGCTCCCGCCCGAGTGGGGTTGGGATTTTTGGATTTTTGGAATTTTGGAAACTCGAGGATTAGAATTTTGAGCAAATTCCTCGAGTTTCCAAAAAATCCGAAACTGGGGTTGGGATTTTTGGATTTTTGGAATTTTGGAAACTCGAGGAATTTTGGTTTTTTTGGATTTTGAGCAAATTCCTCGAGTTTCCAAAAATCCGAAACTTGGGTTGGGGTTTTTGGATTTTTGGATTTTTGGAAACTCAGGTTTTGGTGAGATTCTTTTCGGGGTTCTACACTCATGAGAAATATGAAATATATTAAAAACACAGAGAGCTATGCTAGCGACAGCTACTGGAGTTGCTTACGGAAGAGTTTTTCAGGGGTTCTTATATGATTCCTTATTATGTTTTAGGCTGCCTATTAAATTTAATAATACTCCTGTTCACTTTAACGGGAGTCCTTATTTAATTAATAAGGCTCCTAATCATTTTACTAGCATTCTAAGTGATCTTCAATGGCAATGGGATTCCTGTATTTGTTTAATGGGGTTCGTATTCGATTTTAAAGGATGCCTGTTAAAGGACTTTATTGGGTTTAATATTGATTCCTATTCATTTTAATCAAATGCCAAATAATTGGAATACGATTCTGAGTAATTGTAATAGCATTCTTCTTCCTAGTTAGCTTTAATAAAAGTCTTAGAATGTTAATAAGCTTCATAACAAATTTTATACATATTCCTATTAATTTCAATAGGCTTCTTATTCATTTTCATAAGATGTCTTACAATTTCTAATTGGGTTCCTTTTGCTTTGACAAGCTTCATATTCATTTAAAAAGGCTTCTGGTTAATTGGAATAGGCTTCGTATTCATTTTAACAGGGTTTCTCATTCATGTTGACAGGATTCCTAATAATGTTCATAGGATTCCTACTAGATTCCACAGTGCTCCGATTATGTTTTTAAATCCTGTTCCCTATTCATTTCAATTGGACTCGAAGTAATGTTGTTGTAAGTCTCATTTGTTTTATTAGCAATCCTGTTAATTAAATGTTTTAATAGGGTTTATTATAATTCTAACAGTACGACTCTTATTGTTTTAAGTTTTGAAGGGTCCACATTACTTTTTTTTATAGAATTTTATTGGCTCCTCTTAATCCTTTATAGGATTCATCTTCATGTTACACGGATTCCTGTTACTCTTGAAAAGAATTCATAGATTCTTTTGTAGGGTTCCTATTAATTTTATTAGCATTCCTATGAATTCAAAAGGGTTCCTATTCATTTGAATGGCCTTCCTATGGTTCCTCTGAATTTAGGACGCCAAGAAAGTTTAATAGGAGCTTCTACGTATTTCAACCAGGTTCTTATTAATTGTACTAGGATTCTTACTAAGTTTTCAAAAAAGACTCGTCTTAATTTCAATAGGGTTCTCATTCATTTTAATGGGGTTCCTATTGATTTAAATAGGATTCCTATTGAACTCATACGAAGCCTATGAATCCTAATAAACTTAATTGGAACCCAAGTAAAACTAAGAGCAATCTTATTAAAACTAATAGCAATCCACGATGTCGAGCAAATTGTTCAGGTCCTTACAGCATGCGTCCTTCTCACATCTGTCTGCATCTTTCATTGCGAACACAAAGCCGTACTAATCGAAAAAAATATGCTCTATTGTGTGTTAACGGGTCTGGCTACTGTGTGCAGCTATGCTGTCCGTCGCGCCCTCAGCCTTTTTTTGCTTCCGGGGTCTGTCGAGGGGGGGGGGGGGTGAGCATATATATATATATATGTACATGTATATATTTTGCAAAAGTCTACACTCTTGCGATATCGAGCCTTAGGCAGAGACTGGCTTAGGTGGTGAGCGTTGCCGAGATTGACATCAGGGCTGGCGATGTGCAGGTTGCCAAGAGCTCAAGACCTTCCCCCTAACCCTGGGACTTACTGCTGGGAAGCAAGGGGATGGGGGAACAAGGTATACCATATCTTAAAGGGTATATAGGGGATATGTGGTACCTTATTCCCTCATTCCCTACTAACCAAAAGTAAGGGATTAGCTTAAGGATGCTCAGCTCTGCTGCGGCCATACGCATGCCTGAAAGCCATGTCGGAAATGGTTCGGCTCAATGTGAGGAAAGTCGTTCGGTGAACACCTGCATACACCTGTGGCATTCGCAGAACTTCAGCATTTGCAGAACTTGTTTTTCCCCAAACATGTTGGAGCAGGAATGCCCTTGAAAGTCCTGAAGTCAAAGTTCCGTCCCTGAACTAAAATAGGACCTTAGGAACAGCCCCGGGACGGTGCAATGCCGTTGACGATCCGGCGGTGCGGCAAACAGGTTCACACATCCGCCGATAATTCGGAAGCGTACCAGCTTGTCGATGATGACCTGGGCCGCTTAGTGCAGTGGACGCTCGGGAGCCAGCAGGAGCTGTGGGAAGTACGGTACGTGTTTACGCATGTCTGCGGCCCGAATGGGGGTACGGTCCTTGGTCTGGGATTTGGAACAGCGGACGTCAGAATGGAAGAGGTGGACATCCTGGAATGTGAGAACTTGGCGGTTTGCGATGCCTACGACGGGGAGATCAACATCCTCGGGCAACAGGCAGGGAGGGGGGAGGGGGGTGGGCTTGCTCTGAATTAAGGTCTTTGGTGCCTTTTTGGGGGGGCTCCTTTCCAAGGGTGTTCCTCTCCAAGCAAAAGCAGCCCTAAACCCTAAAGGTACCTATATGGGGACCCCAAACGCAGACTAGGCCCCGAAGCCCTAAACCCTAAAGGAGATGGTGCTGCAGAAGCCCTAAACCCCAAACCCTGAACCCTAAACCCAGCAAAACCCTAAACCCTAAACCCATCTAAAGGCCAAACCCTAAACCCTAAGCCCTGAACCCTAAATCCATCTAAACCCTGAACCCGAAACCCCAACCCTGAACCCTAGACCCATCTAAACCCTAAGCCCTAAGCTCTAAACCCGAAACCCCAGACCCTAGACCCTAAACCCTAATCCCTAAACCCTGACACTAAACGCTAAACCCTAAACCTGGCCCCGTTTCCGTGGCCCTGGCCTCCCTGACCCAACCCAAGCTGTCCACGCACCTGTGGAGGTCCCCAAAAGGGCGTGAGTGCTGACCCATGTGATGCTTTGTAAAAAAAAAGAGAAGGTCTGAACTCATGAGAGTTGTAAGTGGGCGGTCTTGGGGTGGGTAGGTTTGCAGACTACTGCGCGCTCCCAATGCGCGCTTCCGTTTGGCACGTCCTAAACCCTAAACCCTAGACCCTCAACCCTAAACCCTAAAAACCCCAAACCCTAAAACCCTGAAAACCCTAAAAACCCCAAAAACCCTAAAAACCCTAAAAAAACCCTAAAAAAACCCTAAAAAAACCCTAAAAAAACCCAAACACACTAAAAACCCCAAAAAACCCTAAAAACCCTAAAAACCCTAAAGACCCTAAAAACCCTAAAAACCCTAAAAAAACCCTAAAAACCCTAAACACACCCTAAAACCCTAAAAACACCCTAAAAAAACCCTAAAAACACCCCCAAAAAACCCCCCAAAACCCTAAAAACCCTAAAAACCCTAAAAACCCTGCCTACAAGCCCTAAAAGACCCTAAAAACCCTAAAAACCCTTAAAAAAACCCTAAAGACTTAATTAAACCCTAAACCGCCAGGTCAACAAGGACGGCCTGGATCTCTGCGAGCCGAGCTCCGGTTCCTGCGAGGAGGAGTCCATCACTGCCATGTATGATCCTCGGACCAGCATGGTTCTTTTTGCTTGGGGTTTTTTTAGGGTTCATTTAGGGTTTAGGGTTTAGGGTTTAGGGTTTAGGGTTTAGGGCTTTAGGGTTTATTTAGGGCTTTGTAGGGTGAATTTAGGGTTAGTTGAGGGTGAATGGAGGGTTTTTAGGGTTCATTTAGGGTTTTGTAGGGTCATTTGGGGTTAAGTTAGGGGTTATTTCGGGTTTATTTGGAGTTGTTTTTAAGGGTTTTCAAAGGTTCATTTAAAGGGTTTATTTCGGGTTTATTTGGGGTTTCGGCTGTTAGGGTTTTAGGGTTTCGGGTTTCATATTGTAGGGTTTTAGAGATTCTGTGCTTGTAGTTGTTAGTGTTTTTAGGCTTGAGGGTTTGGGGTTTAGGGGTTTAGGGCCATGTTTCAAAAACGGGCAGGGTTTCAAGATCATTTGGAACTTCCCATCTTTGGTGAATCTTATAGCGCCTTCAGGATACCACATCTCTACATAAAGTAGGCCGAATAGTTGCGGAGTGAACGCTATGCATAGCTGCATAGCTCTACCAAGGACTCCTCGCAAGGCTTGCTTAGGTTCACGGTGGACTCCCGGAGATGTCGCGGACAGTTTCGGGTCGACATTGTGAAAGAGGCGTTAAGGCACAGAGACCTGTACCCCACAGTGGCCTTTGCCAACAAGAGAAGCAAGGTGCGCATCGAGCTCATCAGGTGCCTCATGGCTATGCCGGTTCCTCGGGATGAGCGCCTGCTCCGGAGAGACTTCTCTACCTCCTTCACAGTAGCGGCAGATGAAGGTGCTGCCGACTTCCCGAGCGGATGCGTGACCTTCGAGGTGGACGGCCGCCAGCTGCGAGCGGACAAGTTTTTGCTGGCCACTCGCTCTGTCTACTTCGAGCGCATGCTCAATACTCGCATGAGCGAAGGAGCCGCCTCGCATGTCCCCATTCCCAGAGCATCGGCACCTGCGTTTGAGGCGGTTCTCCGCTTCATCTACTCTGCTGGGCAAGCTGGACAGGTGCTCTTCGAGCATGCAGACCCTCTCGAAGTGTTGCACCTTTCTGTTGAGTTCCTCAGTTGTAGAGTAGGTAACGTTTATCCTTTTTGATGGAATAGAATCCCAAAGGTTAACCTTGAGTTCCCCCAGGTTACTGGACTCCTAAGGTTCTTGCTGGAAGACCTCACCCGGCTCTGTGAATGGAAGCTTATGCAGGGGCTGACCCTCGAGAATGCCCTCGTAACCTTCGGTTCCGTTGTCACCGTCCGCAACCAGGTACCCGCCCTTGTGGAATCCTGCATAGAGAGGATGCAAGGCCGCATGAAGGACGTGGTCGGAAGCGAGTCCTTCAAAGAGCTTTGCCGCAGTGAAGTGGGCGTTCGGGAGTTGATTCTTTCACTGGATGAACCTCTGGCAAAGCGTCGCCGACTACAAACTCCCAGCAGAGCAGGCTGAGCTCTTGAAGGCAAAAACCTCCGATGTTGCAGGTTCCAATGTGGCCAGTGGTATCCCATGGGGGCCAGCCCCATGTGGAGTGTAGATATGTGTAGATTCCTGCTGGCTTGGGAGACCTGGTTTGAAGTCAGATTGCGAAGATCTCAGAAGCAGGTCTTCATTCGTAGCTCACTGTGAGATTCCCACCTCTGTGTTGAATGTTGTGCATCGTGGTTGTGGCTGGGAAGGGTGAGAATCCTCATTTTTGTAGCTGTTCAAGCGACGGTTTCATTTGCCAAGTGGGGAGCCGCTTGGATGTAAATAGTATCGACCGTGAACCCAATCAGCATCCTCCACAGGCATGTGCAAGAGTCGTTCTAAGGGGCGTTTTTGAAGGTTCATGGTACTTATTAACCATGAACCCCCAAGTATAGAGTAGGGGGGGGGGGGGGAGGGATATACCTTTGGCCCTCATAGGGGCCCGGCTAGGAGAGCTGAAGCTCATGAGGTCCTCTCCTGGTCATTCCAGCAAAATGGCTTCGACGGCTGGCGTCCCTCCAAGGACCCTTGGATCACCTTTAGGGTTTAGGGTTTAGGGTTTAGTGTTTAGGGTGTCTTCGGGTGTGGTCTTTCGGGAGGCAGGTTGGCTTTGGAAAGGCTCATGGCGTTGGGCAGATTCCAGAGGTTCAGGGGGCTTTGTACTGGTGTCTCAGTGTCCCTCTCTGCGTGAGGAATGGCTTTCCCCCACTGCCTTGCCGTCCATCGCTCAGAGGCAATTTCGTAGATGCTTCGGGACGAGACTTGATTTGAAGCGAACTGACAGCTTCAGGAATGCTAGGCACGTGCCAGAGCATAGCGAGTCTAAGGTTCAATGCCCTCGTGGATCGAAGTCTATGCAGCGAGAACCAGCTCCTGTCAAAGCTGTACGAGAAGTTGCACCGCGTGCCCCGCCTGGCTGGGATAGGTTGCTAGGCTGCTGCGCGCGTGGCGAAGCATGGCGCGCTGTATCAAACTGGAAGGTGCAAAGATGGTTGATTGCCCCCCGTGCAGGAAGCGTTGTCCAAGACAACTTGCCAGCCATTCGGCCAAGTGCAACTTTACGTCACGGGAGCTCCGTGTTTGTCTTGCGCCGGCAGCTGAGAGTGCAGCCTCTTAGTGGACCAGGGTCATGCAGAAGGATGAGCTGGCTGGTTCTTAGTAGTGAATGAGGGGATTAGGGCCCTACATATTCCCTTGAAGGGAATATATAGGGCCCTCATTCCCTCATTCCCTACTAAGAACCAGGGGATAAGAGGGGCATGCCCACATCCCTCGAGATCGGTGCCATGTGGCAATTTCGCATGCTGCTGCCGCGCGTGTGAGCCTTAAGCCGGCGTTGAGCCATGTTTACCCGCCTTCCGGCCGACTCTACCCAAAGAGCCCAAAACCCCTTAATTAAGGAATATACCTTAAATCATATTAACGATCCCTCTATACATGAAGCAATATTCCCTAGTACAGGGATATTGGGCTCTTGGGGTAGTAGGCATGAACATCAAGGCTTACGATGGTGCCCATAGGACACCCTTGTTCCCTGAGGTTCAGCTGCAAGTTGCCATTGGGCCTGAGATCCGGCCCGACGTTTTACGCCTCATGGAACGCAAGGGGAAAAGAAGCGGAGTGTTTGTCTTCAAGAGGAGAATCTGGGGGCTTGGATGACGGTAACCGAGTCGAGTAGTCCTTGTTACCCTTGAGTTCCATTTTTCGCTGAGCTGTGGAGTTGGAGTGCAACTGTCGGCTTGAGAGTGCAAAGGGTGATCCCCTGCCCATATAGCAGTGGGCATTAAAAATTCGTTGACGCCTTGGCAGGCCAAGGCGCCCGTGCTGCAATACCAGTTGCTGTGGCTAATTGGCTTCGCCCACGCGCCATGCATGCTACTGCCATGGACCTGGTAGTGGCACCGGAGCTCATGCTTCCAGAGGCCGGCCTATCCCGACTGCAGATAGTGTTGCTCTTGGGTTCGAGCACGTTGGCGCTTCTGTCCGTTCTGTTCCAGCTCGTGCTGGAGCGGCACGGTCATAAGGCCGGAGGGTGGACTGCCCCGAACGAAGCAGTCTCTCCTGGCCAGGGCTTTGTTTCAGATCCGGACTTTCAGATCGGCAGACTGCTCTCAGAGCATTCAGTCACACCCAAGCCCGTGAGCCTTGCAAGCAAAAGACGTGTATTGGCTTGGTGGGCTTGGTGGATTGAGCAGGACGCCTCCAGAATTCAGGAGACACAGCTCCAGGACCCTCCGCAGAAGCTGCCAGGCTCTTCGCACCCGCAACGGAAGCTGAAGCATGCCAAGGAAGCCACGGAGGTTGCATGGAAAGCAGGCATGGAAGGCATGGATGTACAGGGAGCCAGGGAGCCCATGGAGGAGGCACTGCCATTTCAAAAGAAGTGGCATCCAGAGTGCGAAATGCAGGCTTTTGAGAGGGTGCCCTTGCGCAAGACGGATCTGATGGATCTTGGGGATCTTGGAGAGACCGCAGAGGCACCGGACGTTCCGCCCATGCCATTCCAGAAAAAGCGTGATGCGAAGCTTGGCCCAGGGATGCCAGGGATGCCAGGGATGCCAGAGCCACCGTCCCTGCAGCCTCTGCCCTTTCAGTGGCGGGACCAGGAGCTAAGGCAGCCAGGGCAGCTCGGGCGCACAGCGCCGGAGCCAAGTGCATGGCCGCTGCCGTTCAGTCGTGACAAGCACCCACAGGCTCAGAGCCTGGGAATCCAAGACGAAGTCCAAGACGAAGTTCAATCAGCGACCTTGTGGGATACTCGGCAGCTGGCAACCGACCCGGATGAGCAGGACCTTGCTCCCTGGGCTTGGCACCCCATGAGACTGCAGGAGAGCGCAACGAATGCTCCGCAACCGGCGTCGTGGGACTCCCTGCACCTCGCAGCCCCCTTGCCGGTGCCAATGCCTCCGACTCTGGGCCCTCCTCCTGGCCTTCCGCCGCCTCCAGTGCCTCCGCCACCTCCAGCGCATTTCGCAACTTTGGAGGACGACAACATCCAGCCGCGCCTGATGCGGCCACTCAGAGAGAGCCTGCGCGAAAGTAGCATCCCATCAGAGTTGAGCCAAAGCAACCCGCTGGCGATCCCCAGCATCGGGAGTTTTGGGCATCCTGACATGTGCTACCGGCCGTGCGTTTACCTAGAGAAGGGAAGCTGCAAGCGTGATGCTTTCTGCACGCACTGTCACTTCGATCATGAGAAGACTTACAAGCTCGCCAAGAATCAAAAGAGGTTCATCGAGACTCAATTGGACGAGGTGTCTGTGCTGGCAGCGCTTTTGCCTTTCATCCACGCAAAGGCCATCGAACGTGGTCTGCAGCGGGAGGTGAGCAACTTGTGCGCTTTGATCCAGCGCCGAGTGGAATTTCTCAGGAGCCGCGTCAGCGTGCGGGCGGTTCCTGTGGAGCTCGCGCGCTCCCTGCCGCGGCTCCCCTTGCACACACTTCTTGGCATTCTCATTCGAAGATCAGACTTCGAGCCTGAGTTCATGGACGACCTGACCGTCGCCGTGGCGCAGGTCCGGGCGGCAATTCCTACTTCGCTGCGCTCGATCTGCGAGGGCATCCCAGAAAGGGTGCCTGTGTATACGCCGCAGGCACGGTAGTGTCTTGATGCTTCGACTGCGGTGTGCAATGGTGTGCAGCTACATCCGCTGTCGAGGGCACCTTCAATGAGGGCTTGGAATATGTGGTTCCTTTGTGGGGAATCGCAAACAGGCCTGTTACGTACTAGAATATTTCCCCACAAGGGATCCTAGTTTGACCCCCTCTCATCTGTTTCACTGCAAAGTAAGTTTTTTTCGCTTGGCACAGCAGTGGCTAGGACCAAGATGCAGGCAAGCACGGACGCGCCAACAGACAAAAATCCGTATCCACTTGTGTTTGGGGTTTAGGGCGTTTAGGGAACCCTAAACCCTCAACCCTCAACCCTAAACCCCTAAACCTTAAATCCTAAACCCAAAAAACCCTTTACCCTAAACCCTAAACCCTGAACCCTGAACCCTGAACCCTGAACCCTGAACCCTGAACCCTGAACCCTGAACCCTGAACCCTGAACCCTGAACCCTGAACCCTGAACCCTGTCTTCGTGTCGTCTCCTAGTGTCTTCGTCTTCGTGTCATGTCTTTGTGTCGTGTCCTCGTGTCTTCGTCTTCGTGGCGTGTCCTGGTGTCGTGTGTCTTCGTTTTCGTGTCATGTCCCGGTGTCGTGTCTTCGTGTCGTGTCCTCGTGTCGTGTCCTCGTGTCGTGTCCTCGTGTCGTGTCTTCGTGTTATGTGTTCGTGTCATGTCCTCGTGGCTTCGTCTTCGTGT